TCCTGCTGAATTTGTGTGTCTGCGTCCGCCAAAGGAGGGCAGGATGACCCATCCCTGCGGAGCATGGTAAGGCATATCGCCACCTGACACAAGGGACAAGATGGTGCTCCATCATTCCATGTCCAAAGCCAACTGGGCAGAAAACTGGTGTTCCTCCAGCACTGGTCCCGGGACAACATCCTCCACCGCACCTGAAGGCAGCAGGTGTTTGCAGAGCCGGATTCCTGGACCACCTCTTCCTGCTCCATCGCCTTGCTGCCTCCTCGCAGCATCTGCGCCCAGGGAACCTCCTCGCCTCTCCTCATGGGAGGACCAGCCCTTTCAAGAAGGCTGATCGGTGCACATGGTGAATCGCACAGTGCCCTCGTGCTGGTGGGACTGGTCCGGACTCCCTTTGTGCACTTCAATGCTTTCCCACGGGATGGGAGCGGCTCCCTCATGTGCTTTGCCTTGGTTTGCACCAAACTCTTGCCAGCGTCTGCTTTGACCCTGATGCACAGCAGTTCCAAGCATCTCAACTATCTCATTCCTTGCTTGTGTTGACTGTGCCATCACACCACACTGGAGTAAGCCCCGCTCAATTCAGCCGGACTTCCTTCTGAGTAAGCGCAGACAGGATTGCTCTGTTGTTTTCACTGGTCTTGCACAGGGAGGCTCAGCTAGGTGCAAACGCACCCAAATGCCGCAAGGCCCATGGGGGCACTGACGCTGGGGGCAGCTGCCAACTGCAGCATCCGCGCAGGTTCTCGGTCCTTGCAGCTTTTATTTTCTGCTTTAGAGCAGCTACTCGTGGTGGTGCATCTGTCGTGGGAAGAGATTTTGGCACCACAGATGGCTCCTATAGGGTGGGAAAGAAAGGTGGCATAGGATAAGTCACCACTCCCCCTTGCGGAATTCTTTAGCTCTGTTCAATTCCTGTGGGGGTAAAGAAGAGGCAGGAATGGGCAGAGATCTCTGGGTCTTGGAGGACTTTACCGGTTTTTTTTAAAGGCGGAAGGTCTCTTTGGAAGCAACTCCAAAGGGAAAAGCTGGCGCTGTTTCTTTCTTTGTAAGGTGCATCCCATAGGTTGCTAGGTATCGCTTGTCTGCTGCTGCTCGTTAGGTCCTCTGCCACACACGAAGGCGTGTTGCCAAACTCGCCATGGGAGCGTGGAGCCCGATCCCTCCAGTGCAGTGTGTTCCCTTGCCGGATTTGGTAGCGAGGAAACACACCTGGAACATTGTATTTTGCAAAAGCACACTGTAAAACTGGTGAATGCAGCACCGGCTATTGCCGTCTCTATTCCGATATCCCAGGTTACTTGGTTATGTGCCGCCACCATCCCTGCTGCCGCTTGCTGATCCCTTTAATCATGCCGCACCCCATAGGGCTCGAAATTCTCCATGGCTCCCTGTCATCTCCACTTACCACTTCTTTTACCATTTGCAAGGCACTGTGGTGGTTTCTCAGAAGGCGAGCTGGGGGAAATACACTTCCCATGGCACCCGGCCCGTTTCCCCTGGCTCCCGACACCCTCACCAGTGAATCTTCTTGAGCAAAGCTCCAGGAGCACTTCAGACCTCCCTTCAAAAGCGAAACACAGCATGTGTGTACATGTTTCACAATCTGAGAGCAGCTTTGAAGAGCCAAGAGCCACCCTCTGTTTAAACCAGACGAACTGCCGTGTCTTGCTTGGCTCTTTTGCATCCCTACAATCCCCAAGTGAGGGTGGGGTTGGAAAAGAAGTTGTGATCACTTAATCATACAATGTCAGGCTACAGGTGGAGGGGGGATATTTTGAATCCTTTCCCTCTTAAAGCAAAATCCCATTTTCAAGAGCCTGGTAGGAGAAAAAGGATGGAATCTTTGAAACCCAATTTCTAGCTTTCTGCATGCCAGCAGAAGCCTGCCACCATGCTTGCTTTCTACATACAAGCAGCTTTACGTGCACACCTGCCTTACCTGTGATAATCTGATGTAATGCAGTTCACAGTTCTGTCATCTCCATAATTAAGTATCAAGTGGCTTGAAGACAGACAGCACTGCTATGCTTACTTACTGAAACTGGTGGGCTATTTTGCTGATTAAGTGAACATACAATTGGGCTGTAACTAATTTATGCTGCAGAGTTTTGTGGGCAGGTACTTCTTTGGATGAGCAACTGAGCCACGATAAATCAGCTTAGCTTTAAAATGTGGGCATTTTTGTGCATGTTTCCACTCGAAGCTCGAACATTGTGTGGAAAGTAATTTTATTTGTATCTTTAATATTATTTCATTCCCCGTTCACTATTTCTGCCTTCCCTTAATCTGACCTTGCAACTCCAGACATCAGTCTTGCATAGTGATTCCAACGGTATTGATTCCCGTTCCCTTAATGCTGTTCAAATTCAATTTGCTGAAGCTCATTTTAAATTCTTCCCCCTGCGCGCACACATTTCTGCACACCGCTCCAGTTGTAAATTTGCCCGAAAGAGCAAAAAAGCTCTGTGGAGCTAAAGGCCACGTGGCTTGCCAGAATGGGAAAGGGCAGGGTGATTAGTTTGGGGCCTGGTTAGTTTTGAAAAGAAATTGCTTCTGGGGCTCAGAACGGTGTTTTAGGCCAAGATGTCCTGGCCAGCCATTCTAGATGGGCACATTGTACTTAAGACAGCCTGCTCCACTTTGGGATTTCAAATTGTCGCTTGGGCAATTCCAGGAGCAGACGGTAGGGATGCGTGAGAAATCTGATTGGGGAGTGAAAATCCAACGGATTTTCTGCGTTCAGCCCTGCTTTGCCACTCATTTAATCAGGTGCAAGCCAAATCTGCATGCAAACTTCTGCTTTAAAATGGGTAAGATCTAAGGCCTCCCCTGCCCCAAAGCCAGGAAAATTTGGGCCACTTTAAGGCCTCCAGCTACGCAATTTGCACAAATTGTGCGTTTGCCATTTCAAATACGTTAAGTGATTTCATGGAAGCTGGGAAGAAACTCTCAGTTTGGCCACATTTGGCTCTTGGGTGGGAAATAAAGAAAGACTCCTCAAGATCAAATGGAGCAGGTTTCGCACAAGGAAATGAGGTTCCTTCCCCAGTTATGGAGAGAACCCCATTTCAAAACCACTGTCAAAAGAACTGTGGCATCTGGAAGAGGCTTTAGTATGCAAAACCCTTCTACCCTTTTGTTTTTTTGGTCTGCTTCTCATTTTTCTGTAAGGGAGGCAGTGCCAAATAGTCATTTTTCTACCCTCCAAACTGCAAATAACCAATCATGGTTCTGCTGTTGGAAAACACTTCCAGTCAAAGAAAAGTACCTGGCCCTTTTCCTCCAACATTGTGGGGTGTAGATGATGGAAAAAGGGTCACCTTGTTCACCCTCTCTGTGAATAAAGGACTCTTGGCTCCTTTCCCAATATCAATGCAGTTCAAATAGCCACGTTCTCACAACCTTTTCCTAAATGATTTCATTGAAGTAGCCACTTCTGATTAGGTTCAGGCAGCAAAAATAACCCACACTCAATGGTTGAGTATGGGTTGCGCATGAGTTGTTGGTTGTTGAAGTGCAGGTTATTGTGTTGTCTGAACTCAACTGAGACCACAAATGAGGGTGAACAGCCCACAGTTCACAACTCTACAGCAAATCACGGGTTCTCTTCATGGGTTGTTTGCATCTAACAAACCACCCATTAGCAGTGGTGATACTGTTCTTCAGCTGCACTAGGAAAGAATAGAGTTGGCATTCAGACAATGGTTTGATGGAACCCAGCCTGAGTTCAGACAACACAGATTCTTACCACCCTTTGTGGAGGCCCAACCTTCACTCAAGGGCTGAACATGGGTTGCCACTAACCTCCAGATTGTTGTGGGAAAGTGGGTTATCATATGCTGAACCCAACCAGGGTAACAAACCATGGCGAACAACCCACAGTACATGATCCAGCAACAAACCTGGTTTTTCTTACTGGTTGTATGTAGGCAGCTCAGGCAGCACAATAGCCTGTGCTTCAACAAAGATCCATGAGCCAACAACAAGCTGGAGAGTGTATTAAGGCATCACCTGCCCGTCCCCCGCCCCCCCGGTTGGCTTTGACAGATGAGCAGGGCATAGCCTTCACAACACCCATTGACCCCTGCTCACTGAGGGGAGGAAATGGTTTTGTGAACAGCATCTCCCAAAGGAAGAGGAACATTAGAAGGTCTTGGGAATATGGGGCTGTGAGCCCCATCATACAGAAAGGGAAGCCTGCAGCTTATTTCCAGGAGGCACAATCCACTGGAATCCACAACTTGGGTGGACTTGGACAGGGGCGCTTCCTTGGCCTCCTTTCCACCCTTCTGGAGACTCGGTTCTGATTTCCCTGGCCACTTCACAGGGCTGCCCCTTCTCTCTGTACCTCGTGGCAACTTTTGAAACCCCCCACAGTTTTCCTGAATCTGCCCCAAGCCATTCTTCTCACCCATTGACTGATTCAGCTGCACCCTCCCTCTTTTCCATATGTATATGTGTGTGCAATTGTTTTATTTTGGGTTTTGTTTGCGGAGGGGGTGTTTTATTATGATGCTTATTTTTGTCTCAACCCATTTGTTCCACATGTTGGCACCATGACATACAGCTGCCCTGTTTCCCTTTTGGGGTTTGCTTGCTTTTCCCGTCGCCCACCCCAACCTGACCTCGTAACTTCACCATTTGAAATTGCTTCTGAATGTCTGCTGTCAGAATCTCCTCTTTCTTTCTGCCTTTGTTTCTCTGTCTTTTATGTTTCCTTTCTTCTCCCACACACCCCTGAGACAGAACACACATTTTCGGTTGATGCCTAGTATGGGGCCATCATGGGCAGACTCTTCCATTTCCCCTTTGAGTTCCAAGGACAAAATTTCGAGCCCTCTTTCCACTATCGCCCACCCTTTCTAACCCACCTTTCATTGCAGTTCTGTTTTTGTTTTGATCTGAACTGTACAGTGTTAGTGATGTGCTGCAGACGGATGGCTTAACTGAAGGAGAATTTCTCCCTTCCCGTGTTTCCCCTTTCTTCGCTCTTCTAGCTATGCTGAACCACCCACCAATCCCCATATCGGAACTGGCGGACCACACGGACCACCTCAAAGCCAACGACAATCTGAAGCTTTCTCAGGAATATGAGGTACGAGGACGTGAAAGGCTGCGGGGGGTTGGGAGGTGTCCTGGAAAGGAGCTGTCCAGTGGGGTGGTGACCGCATGAACATTTTTGCAAGATCCCTGTGAAAATCTCCCTTTCCAATAAGTCTTCCTCATAAGGACATTGCTAGGAATGGAAAAAAATCAGAGCCCAGCCCTCCATCACTTTGCATATCTTAAGAGCGATCTATGCAGATATAAAAATAATTACTAGCTTGTATTTAAATTTCATAGGTAGCAAAGCCAGCCAGGTCCTCTCAAAGCTCGTGCATAACTTTTTGATGGGACTGGACTGCCTTAAATGATTTCCTGTGTGGAGCAGAGAATTAGTATTTCCAGCTCCACTTGCTTTCTTGTTTTGACTTTAGAAACAGCATTTTCTCCAACAAAGCTTGTGCCCATCCTGATGTGAATGTGTTTAGTGTCACAGCAGTAGAAGCAAATTCTCATATTGCTTCTGTGTAGTCGTGCACATAAATTACACATGCTCAGAGTATCCCTCTCATTCTCACCCTGGTATTGCACTTTGTTCTCTGTGTGTGAGAGATGCAGAGACAGAGCGATATATTTCAACATCCAAGCACTGGCCGTGGCTGGCTTTGAATTTCCCTCTGTGTAGAACAGTTGCATTTCAACAGCGCACTCTGGACAGCTACTGGGAATGCTCACATTCCACCCCACCCCCCACCTATTGTGCAGCTCACAGCTAAGCCCAAGAGAAACAGGGAAATCTGGGGAGAGGTGTTGGAGAGACCCAAAGCAGATTCAAACCACGTTGGATTTCTAGGACTCCAACCCACAGCAGCTTGCTCAAGTGGCACAGACTCCAGAACCATTTTTTGCTCTTCCTTCACATAATTTTACTCCAATTTAGTTACAGCAAAAGCGCCCACTGAAAAGTCACGTTTGCTCCCATAGGCTAAAGCATATTTGGGGCGAGGGGAGATCTGCACATTTTTGGAAGTGCAAATTTGTGCAAACACATGCAAAGCTATTTGCACAAAAACTGATTCCATCAGTGTGTGGACAGTGGAACCTCAGGTACCAGACAATCTGCAGAGCATAGAACCGATTGTACAAAATCTGTGCATCCCTGAGTCTGAGGGGAAAACAGAGAGCATTTTGTCAAATATCTTATGGCAGACACTAGAACAGCTGTTCACATGGAAACCAGAGCAGGGTTTCGGGCATCAGGAGTGGATTGGAGATCACACAATCCGCGCAGTCGCCAAGAGATGCCTTCTTGGCGGGATTCCAGAGATGGGACCATGAGAGTTTGAAACAGCCCTTCAGCAGCTTAACACCCCCCTTCTACCACAATAAATTAGGCCAATCTTTTGGGTCCTGGACACCTGCTATAAAAACATACCTTTTCCGGCATGTCTTCTTCTCAGGGAAGCAACACTGTCCTCTGTATGTTGCTTTAAAATTGCTTTAATATGAGATTCTTAAGTATAGTGGGAGTGAATGGCTTCCAAGGGCGCTTCCGTCACAGTCCAGTTGTGCTTTTGACTCTCCAGTGCTCTTTTTAAAGCACAACACTTTGACGCACAGTCTGCCCTCCCTGTTCCTAAAATGCTGCGATCATTTCTGAGTGGGTTGGCATCAGGACTGAGGCTGGTACAGTATCAATTATTTCTTCTTACTCATTTATGGCCGGTTTAGGTGATCGTGTTCTGGCAGCACAATAGCCCACATGCAGAGGTTGAGTGTCAGCTGTTATGGGTTGTTGTTAGAACATAGGCTGTCTTGTTGCCTGGACCCAGCCAGTATCCTTTGAGGCAGTTCTTGGAAAAATAAAAATACAAAATGAAATTCAACAGCTGCTTAGCCCAATCAGACAAATGCATAAAAGATTGTTAGAGGAGCACAGGCCCATCAAAGGCAGATTGATTAAACAGTGCACATATAATATGAAAAAGAAATTGTCCCTTAATTTTTTAATGACGAGGTTAAGCAACCTAATTCATGAAAATGCAAGCCCAGACAATAAATGTTTAAAGCCCATTTAAGCCGAAGATACCTCAGCAAGAAATGTTGACACCAAGAAGGAGTTCCCAGCCTAGGAGCCACCACTGAGAGGTTCCTGTATGGAAGATCAGCCATTAAAAATGTCACCCCCTAATTTTGCTCCCTGATATCCAAGCCACTGTATCCTGATGTGGTCCCCTTTAGTGGGAATGCAGCAATTTATAGAAACAGAGTGAGTCAGAAGGGGCCTCCCGGCCATCTAGTCTGACTCCCGGCTCCAGCCAGCTATGGTCACGACATGCCCACCATGTGCACGTCCAGCTATCCTTGATGGGCCAGGTGACCCCCCCCTCCCCCCGCTAGTTCTAGAGTGGGAAGGAACAAATCGGTTTCATTTAGTGGAAGACTTCCTCAGAAATGGTTCATCACAGGTGATTACTTGATAAACTAACCGCCCTTTTAAATATCGAACTGACTCAAAAGAGGAACAAGAGGGAGGCGAAGTGTCCACATAGAAGCAATTCAGGCGAGGTAGAACAACAGGAAAACCAGCACCAACTGAACCAGTTAGATTCATTAACAGCAACCTGTATTATGGAATATAGCTTCCTCTTTCCTAGAGGGAAGTCAACAAGCTAAGCAGTCCCAGAATGATCCATCCCCACCAATAGAAGCAGCTTTTGTTATAAGGGGAGTTACGTCTCGCATCGCCAGTAATACAAGGTTTGGAGTTCTAAGATAACATGGGAAATCTGAGAACCAAAGCTGAGAACCAAAGTTCCTAACTGGACAGTATCCATTTTCCAGTTGGCCCTGGACGGCCCTTCAGGGCAGGCCCTTGCATGCCTTTCATCGAAAGCCATCGTAATCTTTGCCAACAAAAAAAGATGGATTCTTAGGAAGTGCTGCAAAATCTCCCTCTCCCTTCTGGACCAAAGTTCTCAGCAATTAACCAGCCATTTCTCTTCGGATTGCCTTGGGAGTGGCACTAGGCAGAAGTCTGTACTGCTCCAAGTCTGGGCCATGATATCCAACGGAGCCCACACACAGGAGCAGTCTGGTGATTTGGGTTACAGAGCTTGAGCAAAGCTGTCGCTATCTTCCCACCGGATTCTGCTGAAAATTGAAAAAAAAAATGGCATCCACAGTTATGTTGTTGTCTCTGCATTGTATTTATATCTCCCCTTTCCTCCTTATTTATTGATTTGATTGATTAAGCCACCCCACCAGCCAGAGGCTCTCTGGGCAACTTACATCCTGATAAAATCCATATACTACATAGTAGTTGTGCTTTGCGACCTTTGACTTTTCCCAAAACACTAGAATCTCAGTTTTGGAATCATGAACTCGTTCAGATTCCCCAGGGTAATACGACGTTAAGGCTCTCCATTATCTGTACATCCCGAGATGCATAAAAGACAGAAGAACATTAGGGTCAGCTTACAATAAAATTTTAATCCCCATCTCTTCATCAGAGAGAGGAATGGAAAGCCTTAAGATACTAGCTTAATTCACTGGTATCAAGAGGTAACCTTGCAGCCAAAATAACCTTCTTTTAGCCTTTTAAAATGCCTCTTGGGGCAACACAAGGCCTGCGTACGAGAATCAATCGTGCAGCCCCTGAGATTTCCTTAGCAGCCGGCAATCCTTCTGCAAAGATCCTGTTTTGTGCCAAAGCCAAGACTGAGACACAGAAGCAAGAACCTTCCAAGGCAGTGCAGAGAGAGTGCTGTGCGGGGGAAGATCACCTGAAGGAACCCCTGCGTTCTTCCTACAAAAGGTTTTCTGATCCTGCCCAGATTTCTAATCTAACCAGAAGGTGTCTCACTTCTAAAAGGCTCCTCAGCAATAGTTCTTGGGGGCATCTCTATTGACAGACCAGTAGGAACATCTCTGGGCTTGGGAACTGCATGCGCGGAGCCCGGGAGGCCCCTTCTGACTCGCTCTGATTCTGCTTCTGGGAAAGTGCATGCAGGGCAGTGAAGAGCACTGTCCTCCCAGTCAGCGCAATCAAGGGATCCCATTTCCTTTAGGGGGCCGCTCCTGGTTTTAACTTCCCGAACAAAAGTGCCATCTCTTCACAAGAAGCCACGACCCTGTTGGGGTGGATTTCTCCTGCACTGGCAATGCTGAAGGTCTTTGTGGTAGCTAGAGTGTTGGAGTGGGACGCGGGTTCATGTCCCCACTCAGCCACAACGCTCACTGGGTGACTTTGAGCCAGTCTTGAACTCTCGGCCTGGCCTACCTCACAGGGTTGTTGTTGGCAGGATAAGACTGAGAGGAGGGGAGGAATCCTGTAAGTTGCCTTGGGATAAATAAATGATACAAATATATCATTCTAAAAGAGGAAGCAGAAAGGCAAATAAGCTGCCAACGTTTAGCTCTGTTGTTCTATGAGAGGGATAATGCCAACTCAGAATGTTCCATCATCCTCCTCCACCACAGGAAAACCCAACCCCTTTCCCTTCACAGATTTAACCTTCCGTTGTTTGAGGCATCCCTGGTTGGCTAGCACCTGACCATTGCAAGAAAGCCTTCGCAGTGACAGTCTTGCTTTGCCCTGAGTGATGTAGCTTAATCTAATTGGCCAGCCACCAGCTTGTGCAAAATTTATTAACTGCAGCTAAAAGAGTAATTGCAGTAGCAAGAATGTGTCCCTTCCTTGTTAAAAGAATGAATAGTGAGGGCTTGGCGCCTGTCCAAAGAGTCCAATTTGACAGAATATAATCCTTCTGTGAGATGCCTTGTCGCAATTAGGACCCCTTGGGCCCGCTTCATTAATTTTATGAAGATGAGGTGCGGTGGAAGGTACTGCCAGGTGTGGGAGTTCCTTTCTGTTATGAATCAAATGTATATCTTCGAATTGAGCAGTCAGTTCTTGTGCTGTGGTTGCATTGTGCATGCATTCTGTGCTAGAATTGTGATTTTTATACACACTCTTAGAGATATGTGCACAATTTAGAAATCCATTTTAACAGGGTTTTCAAAAAGACAGAAGTAATCTTGTCCACTTCAGTACGTGATCCCTGATTGCCTAGGATCCTTTCTGTGGACAGAATTTAGAGATGAAAGATGAACTCTTTAAGCACCAGTTAGAATAAGCTGCCTTTGATGTGAAAGGGAAGGCCGAATGCAGCTGTTATTTTTCCATGGACATCCTCATTTCTCATAACATTTAGTTCTGACCTGAGAGGAAATTGGGTCTTTTTCTTGTTACAGGGAAAGCCAAGCTGCTTATTGCTTAAGATAATATTCCTTCACTTGTCTTCCTTATTGGATATGTGCTGCTTAATCATAAAAGGCAGGGCTTTCTTGGTGTTGGCCTCTCAGCTGTGCAGAATACACTCACTAAAGAGGGGCATTGGTGCCAATTTACAACTTCCTTGGCGCCTAATTATTTTGATTGTCACTGCCCAGGTATTTTAATTCGCATCATGACATAGCCTACCTTCTCATTTTCATCTCTTCTCTTTAGTCATGGTTGCTAATGTTGTCCGAAGAGGGCTCTGTTTAATTAACATTTTATTTGGCTGAGCAGAGTTTAGCCAAGTATTAAATAAAAGGATTTCTCTTCAGGTCTGATCTCTGTCAGATTTCCTGCTCTAATTGGACAAACTGTATACAACCAGCATTAGGCTAAAATAGCTAGGCACCATCCATCTTTAAGCCCCACCCCTCATTCTGTGATGTCACCAAATGTTTAGATGGATTATAACTTCCATTTGTGGGGATGCCTCACTCACATTCAGACAATATGATGAACCATGGGTGGTTGAAATGGGGGTTCTTGTGTTGTCTGAACTCAGGCCAGCTAACCTACCATGACTTGTTAACCACAAGCAATCCATGAAGGGATCCCATGGTTTGTTGTTGGGTTCAGAATATGTTCGGTTGTTCATCAGGGTTTGTTGCTGGGTTCTGAATATGGTGCGTGGTTCACCATTGTTTGTTATCACAGCTGGGTTTAAACAGTGCAATAACCCAGTTTGATGACAGTCCACGTTCAACTCACACTCAGCTCTTGTGAGTGTTGTGATGCTGACATTTGTGTAGACTTCTGCACAGGAAGGAAAATGTCCATTTAGCTAGAGAAAGAATTTGCATGGGACCTCTGGCCAGGGAGAGAGCAAGGAGGCAGGAAGCTGAGAGCCGAGAGACAAAAAGCCGCTCGGGGCCACAAGGTGGAGGGGGCTGAATTCCAGCTGCTCAAAACAACCCAGCCAGCAGGCTCAGAACTGTATGTGAATTGGAACTTGCCGGAAAGATGATGGGAAGCGATTCTTGGCTCTGCAGGATCTTTGCACCCATCCCTGGGCAAGGTGAGCAGGCGGGCGAGGAGAAAGCTGATGCGGCCCTCTGCCAGTTGCTCACCCCAGCAGCTAATCTGCATAATGTAATATCTGAGAGCGATTCTGGCCCGAATCCAGGGCGGCCGCCTCTGCAGCTGCCGATCTGGAATATTTTTTAAAACACACACATACAAAGAACTTCAGCCCTGGTTAATGGAGTGCGGCGCACGACCGGCAAGGGGAGGCAGGCAGAAGCGGTACGAATATCCATTAGTTAAAAAGGGGTCACAGTACAGAGTGCGAGAGCTGCCGGAGCAGCTCCACAGCGGGAGACAAGCGAGTGCAAATGGCAAACGCTGTGGTGGCGTTACGGAGACACGTTTTAATTCTCGTGGGGTAGAAGTGCTACCCCCACCGCCTCCATATCATTGTGCACAGGCAGGGGATGCGGAGTTGAATTTTTGGAGGCCAAGTTTCTAGTCCTCATGGTGTGACAGTGGGATTTGAAGCAAGTGGGCATTGCTGTACCTGCTTACAGAAGCAAATTCAGTCCTCGGGGGAACTGTGACATTGCAGTGCCCTGCGGAGCTCTCCGTATTTTTCCCACCTCCAGCCAGGCTGAAATGAATTATTCAGAACAGAAGACAAGGGGCCTGCCTGATCTGCATCATTCATGTCAGATTAGAGGCAGCGTTTGTTTTCCACTTTGGAACGTTGATACAGAGCACTGAAGGATGCCCCTGCTTGCATGCCACCCCAGCATCATGGACATCGAAGGTAGTCCGGTCCCAATTGGAAATTGGGTGCGCCAGCATCCCTCCACGGTGCCTGCCCAGCCTAGACACCTCAAAGGAGACCGGCAACTCGTGAAGCAGGCGACCCCATGGCGCCTGTGGGTGCTTAGCTCCCTAATGCACTCGATTCAGGCTTGCTCCGTCCTCACTTTTCAAATAGCAGGAGGGCTGTCAGCTGTCCTTCCTGCACTCTGTTCCCTCAACAAAACATCCCCGCGTCTTTCTGACTATCCCACGCCCGCCTTGCTGGACCCAAGTGAAGAACCCCGGAGTTGGAAGATTTCCCAAAGGTTCAGGAAAGCTCTTTGCACCAGCCAAACCAGCAGCTGGCCGCCCGGCTTGAAAACCTCCAGCAAAGCAAAGAGCCCACCATCTCCCATGAAACTCTGCTCCATCTGGCCCAGTATCCTGTTTCCAACAGTGGCAAGTGAGATGTCACCAGGGAAGCTCAGACACTGTTTTATCCCCAGAATCCTTTAACCACAGGGATGCTAATCTGAACAAAATAGGTTCATCTACTTGTCCTGGCCTGTTTGTTGTTTTCGTTATATGCAGCCAAGTTGTCCCTGACTCCAGACAGTCTTGCTCAGTTCTTCCAAATTAAGGGCTGTGGCTTCCTTTATGGAGGCCCTCCATCCTGTGCTTGGCTTCTCCTTTCGTCCTCTGCCTCCACTGTTCCTTGGCATCACTGTCTTCTCCGGGGAGCTTTGCCTTCTCATGACGTGCCCAGATAGGACAGCCATCTGGTCATTTGTATGTCTAGCAAATGTTTTGCCTTGAACCTGGCCTGTAGTGACTGATAAAGCTTCCCCACCTCTTTTTCTTTCCAAACACATAAGAGGTGATGGAGATTTCTGAGACCCTACAAGTGGAGGACAGTAACCTTGCACGTCTTTAAATGATTTCGGTATCCCACCTTCCCATTGCCAAAGTGCTCCAGGAGGGCCCCACAAAGGAAAGCCCTGAAATGCGACAAGATGAAATAGGGTAGAAAACATTAAAAATGCCAAAAAAGTTAGAAACTGCTAAAGACCAGAGCAAAACACCTTCAGAGACAACCAAGAATGTCCCAGCCACAATTCCAGAATGACGGATTCAACATCAAAGGAGGCGTACAGTGCCAGGTTGCAGTCTCAGACCCCCACTCACCGCCCCCCCCCCCCACCGTCTGGCAGGTCTCCTTTTCTTCTTCCACACTTGCCTGTGTGAGAAATGCACACAGCATCAAAAGCCTCTGCACCACCACACTCAAGCTTTGCAACAAGGGCTGTGATTTGACTGGCTCACCCTTCAATTTTTGTAAGGTTGCAGATCTCAGCAGTAGGGAAGGGAGGTTATGGGGGTTCTGACATGAGTTTGGAGCAGAACGCAGAGACGAGAGGTGCTTCCCCCTTCTGCTTAGTGAATTTCTGCTCCACCCATGAGCTGGGTGGTTTGCACCAGCACCATAAAGCCCCATGACAGCGAAAAATGGCAGTCCACGCAAGCTCCTAGAAGGCCACAGGGTCACCGAGTCCACTGTTTTTTGCTGCAGAAGCAGCCTCAGAGAAGGGCCCTCGGCATGTCCTGGGGGGAGAGGGGAGGGGCTGGTGCCATCAGTGGTGTTCGGGTCCCTTCCCTCCCCACTCCAGGACACCACGGTTCAATAGACCGCCTTCCTAGGTTGCTCATAGGTTTCCTGGCAGCTCTTGGATTTTGCCCTGCACAGTCTGGGACCAGGTCACCTCCAGGGGTCCACAGCACCCACCCTCAGGAAATCCAGCACCGGCATTTTTTGGATAGGGCTTCACCCAACCTTTCCCCAAAGAGCGACCCAGGCGGATATGGCCTGAAACATCCAGAAGGGCTTTACCTTTCCCTCTGATCAATATTTCCTTGCCGGCAGGGGGAGTTTAGGGCAAAGCTTTGCTCGTGCATTTTTGTAACAACATGGCTGCACCCTTTGGACTCTGTGGGGAGCGAGTCCTTATTTAGGCGACGGATAAAATGCACAGACAGGAGGGTCTGTTGTGAAGTTTCCTTTTTTGTTCTGCTCCAGTCCATCGATCCTGGCCAGCAGTTCACCTGGGAGCACTCCAACCTCGAGGTCAACAAGCCAAAGAACCGCTACGCCAACGTCATCGCCTACGACCACTCCCGGGTCATTCTGCTGCCCATCGAAGGTACGTGAGTGGCCCCCACCGGACCCTGTGCATGTCCCAGCAGTGCTGTCCTGGCCGGCCCATCTCCCAGACACATTCATCCCTTTGCCCCTGCAGCCCGTGTGTCCGTCTGCCCCTCGCTGAGGTGGGGAGACGGATCAGGGAAGATGCTCCAGCCGACTCGGTCTCTGCTCGAGCACATGCATTCAAAGGAAACTGGGCAGCCACCTGAGTGGGGTGGCCCAACTCAGGGTCCTGCAACAGCCGCGGTTGGACCTGATGGTCTCCATGGCCCCTTGCAATTCCGCTTGTCTGTGACATCTGGAGGTCATCTAGTCCAACCCACATGCTCAGTGCAGGCTTCAGCTACACCTGCCCTGACAGGCAGTCCTCCAGTCTCACTTAAATATCTCCATCTAAGGGTTGCCCAACACCTCCTGAGCCAAGGCAGGATATGCGGGGTGAAGTCCACGCCCCCCAGAGCAGACTGCCGTCTTAAGGGAGGTGGTCCCCGTGAGACTTGTAGACCCTAAAACAACCTAGCAGTGCCCCTGTGTCCAAGGCACCTGCTCCACTGCCAAAGAGGGCAGGAAGCTTCTCCTGTCATGCAGCCCAAGTCTGCCTCCCTGGGTTTCTCACCCCTTCATTCTCAACCGGCCCTTTGTGGCACCTTCCACCTTTCTGGATGCCACCCAGGGCTCGTGGAACCCAACCCCATGTGGCCCCTACCACCAGCCCCGGCTCCCCAGGCTGCCAAGTGATGCTGCATTAATTTTGGCTGTTTTTATATTTGGAAACAAAACCTAACAGCAGGTTCTGTCTCTGGAGGCCTTGGTGAGTCTGCGGTAGCGTTTGCATCCCCCAGCCCCTCTCCATCCACACATCCTTGAAACCTCTCTGCATCCTGGGTGGATCCAGGAGATGGAGAGAACCTTTGCTGCAGAGTTCGACTTCCTCTAATTATGTGGCACGGTTCTGGGCACACAGGTTTTGCTGCCCGCTTTCCTCTTCTAAGCATTTCTTTAATTTAAAGGCATGCCAGGTTGATGCTGCCGTGCTTGGTCGGGGCATTTCTCCAGCGAGCAGAAGGAAGGGAGGAAGGAGCGATTCAGTATGCAGGTTGGGCTGCTTCCCCCTTCTGCGGCAGGGGTCAAATTCATAGGTGCTCAGTTCAAAGAAATCACCAGTCCTGGGGAGAAGGGCTGCAGGAGGAGACTGTCCCTTGGGGAATTTGCCTCGGCTCGGCTTGGAACTGCTGACTTAGTCTGGGGTCCTTTGTGCCGGCCAAGTTTAACGCGATACGGCAGGCGGACGCTTCGTTTGCGCCTTCCAAGGGCAAAGTGGAAAGAGACGGGGACAAAATGAATTGCTAATCCTCCCCTCGCTCCACCCCCACCGAAGACCATGCAACGCGAGCACGGTCTCTGCTTAACCCTTTTCTCTATTGCTCCCCACCCGTGGGGAGGAAGAGGTAATTTATTTTACCTGGGGTGGGATGAAAAGGGGCGGGGGGTGCAGGGGGGAGACTTGTCTGTGGCATCGAGTAATAGATGCTCAGCAGCATTTGGCAGAATTTCGGGGGGCCGAGGGATTTAGCTGGTGTGCGGCAACCGTTTTCCTTGCTCCGCTTTTGCCCAGCGGGGTTGAGCAGAGAAATTGAAATTTAAAGCAGGCATCAGAAGGTTTCCCTATCAACCCACCTCCAAAAATAAAATGAAATAAAAGACCATTTCATAGCCAGGAGGTAGCCAGGAATGTGTGTTGGGACACTCCAAGCATTGCTCTACTAGATTAAAAAATGAACAACACCTTGTTATATCAGCCTGGCAAGGGAGGGTGAAGTGATTGTCCTGATAATGCAAAGGGAGAGGAGGCGGAGGCCAAGAAAGGGTTGTTTGCCAAGCAGATGAGAGCTTTTCTTAGAAGTAGAAATGGCAAAACTGAGGCTGTTCAACTCTGGACATGCTCCGAGAGGGTTTCCCCGCAAGAGCTGCATCACGATTGGAAAAGCTGAAGGCAGGGGAGGAACAGGCGGACCGAATAAGAGATGGATGGATTCCATCAAGGAAGCCGCAGCCTTGAGTCTGGAAGAGCTAAGCAGGGATGTCATACGTGGGACCTTGGAGCGCCCCCATAGTCACGGGGTCACCATGAGTCAGAGACGACTGGACGGCACGTCAAGGCAGCAAGACTCAAAGCAAAGACTTCCCTTGAAGGGCACCCATGACTTGCTGTTGGAAGGGGAATGGTGCGCGGGTGGGGGCAAACAAGCCACGACATGTTACCTTATAGCCCATGGTTCCGCAGCATGGGCTCTTGCGTCGCTGTGCAAAGTGACTTGCTGCAAGGCAGATTCCCATCTTTCTCTTTTTAGGGATGTTCCCCTCCATTAGGAAATGGTCCAGTTAGCAGGAAGTGGCAACGGCTCTTCCTGGCCCATCGGCTGCCAGGGAGAGCAGGTAGCTAGAAGGACACGATGCAGGATGTTGTACAAAGCCGTTTCCGATCTGTCTCTGAGTGTGATGGGAGACTGAAAGGCCCTCCGCTTTTACTCCAGGGATGGGAAATGGATGCCGCCCCCCGCGGCCTCAGGGATTCAGGGTAGCCTATTATTGTGCAGAGGAGTCAGTGCAGCTCTCGTTCCGACACAGGGATCGTGGGGGGCGACTACATCAACGCCAACTACATCGACGGGTACCGGAAGCAGAACGCCTACATCGCCACGCAGGGGCCGCTGCCAGAGACCTTCGGGGACTTCTGGAGGATGGTGTGGGAGCAGCGCTCGGCCACCGTGGTGATGATGACCAAGCTGGAGGAGAAATCCCGGGTGAGGAGCCGTTGAGCGTTTGAGGCAGCGTTTAAAAAGCCGCTCCTGTGGCTCGGGGTGAAAGCCTTGTTAGTGCAAGGGCTTCCTTCGGAAAGGCACCATCTTCCAAGAGATCCCGGGCCGCGTTTCCCGGGCTGGTGCCCTTCCAGATGTGTTGGGTTGCAGTGCCCGCCTTCCTGCACCAGTGTCTGGGGCTCATGAGAGTTGCAGCTGGAGCCACGGGAGGGCTGACACAGGGATCTTTCCAAAATTCTGTCTGCAGTTATAAAATAAGCACCTCCTCCCATCGGAGGCATTTCTGTCGTTGGTGAACCAAACCAGATGTTAAACCGGGGACAACGTGGGTCATTGCCATCTCGCCGCTCCTCAGGGCCAGGGCCGTGACTTGGTGTGGCCGGCGCACTGGCCGTTGTCCCCCGGAGTGGCGCCTTCTCTCCTCCATCGCAGTCCACATGTTCCCCCACCTTTTGCTATGGCCTGGACAACGGCGGTGGAGGGAAAGAGAAGCAGGAGGTGCTGCAGCCTCCTCACTTGCTGGCTTTCCGCCTGCCTAGCGAGCAAAAGGCGGCCATGATGAGGAAGAGGAGGAGAGAAAGAGCTGAGGGTGACGGGGGTCGTGAGGGAGGAAGCCTGGGCAGTGTTTTTGGCCCCAGTCTCTCCAGAGCCTGCAGTGAGCCAGGAACAGTTCTAGGAGGGAAAGAATCTGGGGGTGGCCTTGAGCTGCTTCTGGGGAACCCCAGTTCTGTGCAAAAAGGACGGAAAAAGACTGTGGCCCCTGTAGCCAAGGAAAGGTGCTTGAAGAATACAAGGGCAGCCCTTGCTAAAGGCCAAGCGAGACGCTTTTCCCGCAGCGCTCCATTTGCCGGGTTGAATTCCAGCTGCGGGATCCTGCATTTCAGGGCCTTGCTCCAGGTTCCCTCCGCACGGGGCCCTCGGGTGCTCCCATGAGAAGGCCGCACTGTGGCGGCCAGCTGGTCGGCCCCATTTTGTAATGGGAGGCACAGAGGGAGCTTTTGTCGAATGTGGGGCTTGCTGCTCGGTTCTAGGCCTGTCATGCTGCTTTGACCTTCCAGATCAAGTGCGACCAGTACTGGCCGGGCCGCGGCACGGAAACGTATGGGATGATCCAAGTCACTTTGCTGGATACCATTGAGCTGGCCACTTTCTGCGTCCGCACCTTCTCCCTCCACAAGGTGAGTGCACGCAGGGTGGCAGCTAGTGGTGGGCAACCCGTGGCCCATGGGCCCAAGTCCAGCACTGAAATGGTGTGAAGAGGGATCACAAAGCCAAGGGGTGAAAAAGAAGTTGCGTTCAAGAAGCAGTAACAGTGCAATGAGTGTGCACACACACACACACACTTGTGGAGGAGGGAGGCTCTCGGGACACAGGGAACTAACTCTCTTGTTTAAATGCTGACTTTCCGGACCGCGTTCACCACGATGCTTGAGGCAGATTTGACGGGCGCAGTATCCAAAACACAGAAGATTGGAATCTGTCATTGGCTGTCATTTGAGATGCTTGACAGTTCAGGCAACATGATAATTCCTACTCGAGGGCTCAGCTGTGCGTTGTTACCAAAATGGGCTGCCAGGGCCTGTTACCAACAAATCACACACGCAGAAAAGCCTCAGCTTGCCATTGTATTGTGAACCACGGTTTGTTATCTTGGCTGGGTTCAGGCAGCGCAAGAGCCTACTTTTCAACGACCAGAGACACTCGCCCTTTCACTGTGTTGCTGGAAGCCACTCGCTATCTTACATCAGAGCACTTCTGGGCCATCCTGTAGGATGTGGTCTTTCAGCCTTCCCCAGCCCGGGGCCCTTCAGGTGTGATGGACTGGCACTCCCAAAATGGGAATGTTGGAAATTGCAGTCCAGCACAACTAGACAGCACCCAATTCGAATAGGCCACTTCTCCTCAATATTTTATTCATGTATTTGCTAAATTTATACCCCACCTTTTTCCTTCCAAGGAACTCCAAGCAGCTTACATAATTCTCCTCCTCCTCTCAGTCTGCCCCTCGCAACAACAACCCTGTGAGGTAGGCTGGAATGAGAAAATGTCATGAGGCCCACAGCCCTGCATGGTACAGGAATCCACTCCAAAGGTTCCCTGGCGGGTGCCTCTCCAGTCTCTCCAGCAGCAGAGTCTGCCCCCCAGCTCTTGGTTCTGCCCTCTGAGCACTCCAGCGCTTCAGAAGCGATCCCCAGTGCCCACCCCCAAAACAGCTGCCCCAAAACAGCTGTGATCTGAGCCCAGCATCCCGTGCCCCTCCCTCGTCCTTGGATGAAAGATAGCAGATTGAGCCCCTTCAGTCTCCAGCTGCAGGAAAACTGCCGTTATTCCCACCCTTGTACATTGTTTTACCAAAAGCTATTGTGTCGCAATGGCGCTTTTCATGTTCTACAGAAATGCCAGGGTTCCTTTGCCATCTTACATGTCCTAGAATAATAAATGATTGGATGTTTAGAAGTGCCCAGACTCTTTTGACAGCAGAGAGCCACCAAATTTGCACCACAGTTTTAATGACCCCTTCCTTGGAAATAATCCCATTGAAACAATGGGATTTACTTCCAAGTTTCCCATGTGCCTGGAAGCAGCGGCCCTGCAGAAGTATTTGCACACCTTTTGCAGCCTCGTCGTATGTTGGGACACACCAGGCTCCTTTCAGCTCTCGTGGTCTCTCTCCGCAGAACGGCTCCAGCGAGAAACGCGAGGTCCGCCAGTTCCAGTTCACAGCCTGGCCGGATCATGGGGTCCCTGAGTATCCAACTCCGTTCCTGGCCTTCCTCCGGAGAGTGAAAACCTGCAACCCCCCGGATGCGGGGCCCATTGTGGTGCACTGCAGGTATGCCGCTGCTGCCCAGTCCAGACCCGCCATTTCGTGCCCACGGGCTGGCAAGGCCAGGATTGGTGGAGTTCAAGGCAAGGCACGCGCATGGCGGTGCTCAGGAAGGTCTGCTGATGCAGAAGGTTTTTCAGAACCCTTTTCTGTTCCCACAGTGGGCACCCAGGTGCTTCGGCAGGCAGCCCACAGGTAGGCTGGGGCGGCCACTCACCTGTCTGTCTGCATTCCCAGCAAAGGGCTGGCTGCAGTGGCTGCTGGAGGTAACGGACGGCCTCTGGTAGGTTTGTCCTCTGTAAGTAGGCCCAGGCCTTTTTAAAGCCACGTAACTTGATGTCCATCACTACATCTGGGGGCAGAGAATTCAGTGGTTCTACAACATGCTGTGTGGGAAGCTCTTCTGTTGATCGGCGACAAATCTCTCAGCCGATACCTTCAGAGAACGACCCCTCTGGGTGTCGCCCGACCTGGTTTCTCCACACCAGGCTTAATTTTGCACACCTCAGTCATGCCTCCCCTTACTTGCTTTTTTCTCAGCTAAAAATCCCTAAATGTGCCTTTAACCCTTTGATTGCATTCGGTGCAGGAAACACTTGGAAGTTTACGTGGCAGGAGCAGGGCTGCTCAGCTTGTGCAAATTCGTGTTAGGATTCATCGTATTTCACATAGCTAAAGCACTCGCAGGTGTTCAAAGACCTTTGCATGCAGCATCTAATTCTAGTTCTGCAGCACAGGTAGATGTGGGGGCGTGTAGAAAATGACTTAAGTTCATGGCAAAGGCGAGACTGGACTGGGGACTTCCCTACACATCAGCCGGGGGTGTGAAATGGGTGAAAATCCAGCGGGTTTTATTGACTCAGCCTTGTTGTTTCTGTTCTGACAGCATGTGGACATTTTTTGTTCTTTTTTTAATACAAACAGCTGGGGACACTTGTGTGAAATTACAGCCCTGCTGTGCTGTCAGCACACACTGGAGCAAATTGTGGGCGAGGCACACATTCCGCACAACGCTCAAATTAACGATCAGCAAATCCAAGGTGGCGTGTCTGGGAGAAGGGCGCGTCTATGCCTCTTGTGGTAAAGCTGCAGCAAAAACCAGCACGAGGGCTTGAATCAAACAAGCCAGCCCTGATTTGCACAAATTGTGCTTTGCATAAATTGTGCTAGAGCTGTGCAGCTCTCAGCTGTAACTTGGCACGACTATTTGAGCAGTTGGACAGAGTCGCTTTCCTTACATGCATGCACTTGCTTCGGCCTGCTTTTGGCCGTACGGTTGGAAATGTGTTAAGCCTTTTGAGCTGAACGACGGGAACGGGTTTTCCAGTATCGTGTATTCCCAGCTGCAATCATGTAAATAGGCCTTTCTGCTAACCAGTTCGCTCCATATGCTTTGAGCCACAGCTCTCACGGCCAATACTCTGGCAGAGGGCAAAGGAAGCCACCCAGCTGGGCCAAGTCCCTGCCCCAGGGCAAGAAGTAAGTTCCCTTTCCCCTCGCCAGAGAACCGCTCAGTCCGTTAGCCCTTGTGCTCTCCTGGCCTTGGTGTTGCGGAAAAGAACTCCCAGTCCTCCAACCCGGAAGCACTGAATCTGGGTGCGGAGCAGACCATGGACTGAATTGGCGGCAGTCTGGCATCGTTTCCATCTTGTGCAAAGATCTTTCAGCCTCGCCATAGTCAGCAAGCTGTAATTGGGCCGCGGGGGACTGGAATGAGTCTTGTGGGGGGCGGTGCTGCTGTGCATCGCAAGCGCCCTGCTTTGCAAAACGGGGCTGATTTTTTCAGGGGCCAGAAGTGAGTCAGAGTGTGCAGGCTTTCCCATAATATATTCAGCTGTTCTTGGGTCGGTCTGTTTTGCAGAAGGAACAGTAGAGATGCTTGGCACTGAGATTTGGTCATGGTAGTTGGTCAAGCCGCTTGTCCTCACACCCCCTTGAATGCCTTTGCTTAGTTCTTCCAAGTGGATTCACCCATCCCCAAGGCGTAACATATCAGCACAACCCGGGGGAAAGCCCAAGGTTGGGAACAAGTCGGACGGGAGAGGGAGGATTCCCCAAGGATGACAGCCCCCAACCCCCCACCCCGCCCTGTGCGTGTCACCAGTGGCCCTGGGGGACCCTTCCCTTTCCTTGCGCAGCCCCACTTGGAAAGTGCAGCACAGGAAAAATGTGCCCGTGCGTTGCAAGAGGGTCTTGATGTGAAAACATTTTGTTCTCAGCCCTTGTTGCCAGAAGCGCATCCAGAGACTTATTTCAGCTGAGTCGGGGAGGGGGAGGGGGAGAAGATTAAAAGGGGGCTTAGAGACCTGCCGGAATTGGGGTTGCGATGGCGGGACAGAATCAGGCACAAACGCAGCTGAGTGGAGGAGTGAGGGCGAGCCACGGGGTGCTCCGCCGCCTTCCTCAAGCCCCACAGGGCAGAGGGCCAGAATTTAATGTGCAATCCAACAAGGAGCTTTCTCAAGCTTGAGTCGGATAAATCCCCCTCATTTCCCAGGGGGCAGGGGCCGTGGGGTCACTCGGTACTCAAAAAGAACCACAGCTGTGTGCTTGGCATTTTGCAGATATTGTTACAGGTGGGTACGGAGAAGGGTCTGTGGGGGGGCAGAATCCTATCCCCCAGTGCAGAAAATGTGGCTATTACTCATCCCCCGATGACAATTACCACACTGCTTCTGTCAAAAATGAACACAGAGTTTCTGGCCAGCACATTTCCAGAGGCTGCACGGTTCTGTTCTCCTGTACGCTCCCGCTCACGCACCCCTGCTCCTGCCCCACCCCCAAAGGCACACTCATTGTGAAGGCTGCAGGTGTTACAAAGCCTAATTAACAGAGATCAAAGAGGGATTTAGAACAGAAAGGAACAGAGACCCACCATGCTAGCACTGAAACCCTTTCATATGGGTCACTGCCAAAGTGGAGTGCAGAGAAGGAGAGGCAGGTGAAGCTGCCTCCCCGCCCCCCCCGGCCCCACTTCTCATCTGCGCATGCATGCGAGAGGCTGGAAGCAACTCGCCCTGCTTTTGTTGGGGGGGCATCTATTCCTCCTCACTTTCAGTGCCCCTCGAAGCAACCCTCCCACAAAAAAAAAAAAAGAGATGTGGCTTGAAAAATCCTCTTTTCGCCCCACACGGTTCATTCCACGCAGAGCCACATCGCTTAAGAATACACACACCCTGGTGCAGGTGTGTCGGAATTGTGTGGCTGAGAAGTAGATTCCGTGCAGTGAGCACACCTCAGAGCATGGTCTGGCACTTCATAATCAGTGCACAGCACCCTGGGGTGTGGAGTGTGCTCCCCCCACACCTTCCTTGCCTCTCCCGACTCCTCCTCCCTCTCTGGGGACTTTCAAATCTACTGCCAAACCTGACCCCCAATTCATTCCCTTATGTAACCAAGATAATGCCGAGTTTGTCAGCATAACTGCAGTGGACTCTCAGGGCACTTTGACTTTCCTTCAGCCGCATGAAGGATGTTATATATTTTCTCTATAAATGAGGCTGAGGCAGAATGGTGTGTGTTGCTTTGCACGTCTTGCCGAAAAGTAAGATACAGACTTAATATGCAGACACTGACTCATGCAGAAAAACATCAAATCCACATACGCATCCCTGTGGAGTCAGTTTTGTTCCTTTTATTATTCCAGCTAGAACTCCGCTGATTGCATCGAGGCTGGACTGTGCTTATGCTCCTGATACGGAGTTGCTTGTGGGAAGAGGAAGGAATAGAAACAGTAGGGATCTGCAGGGCACAGTGAGGATTTTGTAACCAGCCTGTGTTTGGAGAGCCCCTTTGGAGGGCCCTGCTCTCTGACCGGACCTTGAGGACAGCAGGGTAGTAGTAGAAAAGGCCATCATGGCGCCTTTTCAGTAGTGCCCCTTCCTGTGTAATATGCACCCCTTTGCGACTGATGTTGAGACGGAGTTGGGAATGCTCTCTCTTTTTTTTAAACTGGAAATTTTTATTACATCTGCCGTTGGTGGATTTTTGTTGTCTTTATTATTGAAACAGGTACAACTTGTTAGTTGCGAAGGCTCGTCCGACCCATCGCAACCTCATGGACAACACTCCTCCAGGCCCTCCTGTCCTCCACCATCCCCCAGAGTCCACCCAAGCTCAGGCCCACTGCCCCAGTGACTCCTTCCAGCCGCCTCATCCTCTGCCGTCCTCTTCTCTTGCCATCTATTGCTCCCAGCATTAGGCTCTTCTCCAGGGAGTCCTTCCTTCTCATTAGGTGGACAAAGTCTTAGAGTTTCATCTTCAGGATCTGGCCTTCTAAAGAGCAGTCAGGGTTGCTCTCCTCTAGGACTGACCGGTTTGATCTCCTCGCAGTCCAAGGGACTCGCAGGAGTCTCCTCCAGCACCACAATCCAAAGGCCTCAATTCTTCGGTGCTCAGCCTTCTTTATGGTCCAACTTTCACAGCCATACATTGCAACTGGGAAAACCATAGCCTTGACTATATACACCTTTGTCGGCAGGGTGATGTCTCTGCTTTTTAGTATGCTGTCTAGATTTGCCATAGCTTTCCTCCCCAGGAGCAAGCGTCTTTAAATATCTTGGCTGCAGTCCATGTCTGCGGTGATCTTTGAGCCCAGGAAAATAAAATCTGTCACTACCTCCATTTCTTCCCCATTTATTTGCCAGGAAGTGATAGGACCGGATGCCATGATCTTAGTTTTCTGAATGTTGAGTTTCAAGCCAACTTTTGCGCTCTCCTCCTTCACCCGCATCAAGAGGCTCTTTAGTTCCTCTTCACTTTCTGCCATTAGAGTGGTATCATCTGCATACCTGAGGTTGTTGATATTTCTCCTGGCAATCTTAATTCCAAGTGGTGATTCATCCAGCTCTGCCTTTCTCATGATGTGCTCTGCATATAAGTTAAATAGGCAGGGCGACAGTATACAGCCTTGCCGAACTCCTTTCTCAATTTTGAACCAATCAATGGTTCCGTGTCCAGTTCTCACTGTTGCTTCTTGACCAGCAATAAGATGGTCAGGTACTCCCATCTCTTTAAGAACTTATCACAATTGGTCGTGATCTACACAATCAAAGGCTTTCGCATAGTCAGTGAAGCAGTAGTAAATGTTTTTCTGAAAGTCCCTAGCTTTCTCCAAGATCCAGTGTATGTTGGCAATTTGATCTCTAGTTCCTCTGCCTCTTCAAAAGCCTGCCTGTACTTCTGGTAGTTCTCGGTCCACATACTGCTGGGGCCTGGCTTGTAGGATTTTGAGCATAACTTTGCTGGCATGTGAAATGAGTGCAATGATGTGGTAGTTTGAACATTCTTTGGCATTGCCCTTCTTTGGAATTGGAATGTAAACTGACCTTTTCCAATCCTGTGGCCACTGTTGAGTTTTCCAAATTTGCTGGCATACTGAGTGTAGCACTTTAACTGCATCGTCTTTTAAGATTTTGAATAGCTCAGCTAGAATACTGTCTCCTTCACTAGCTTTGTTGTTGCTAAGACTTCCTAAGGCCCATTTGACTTCACATTTCAGGATGTCTGGCTTGAAGTCTGTGACCACCCCATCATGGTTATCAGGGACGTTAAGCTCTTTCTTGTATAGTTCTTCTGTGTAATCTTGTCACCTCTTCTTAATCTCTTCTGCCTGTTAGGTCCCTGCCATTTTGGTCCTTTATCATGCTCTTCATGACCCCAATTTTCTTGAGAAGATCTCTGGTCCTCCCTATTCTATTGTTTTCTCCTATTTCTTTGCACTGTTCATTTAAGAAGGCATTCTTATCTCTTCTAGCTATTCTCTGGAATTCTGCATTCAATTGGGAGTATCTTTCTCTTTCTCCCTTGCCTTTCGCTTCCCTTCTTTCCTCAGCTATTTGTAAAGCTTCCTCAGACAGCTATTTGTAAAACTTCCTCAGCTTCCTTTTGCTTTCTTGCATTTCTTTTTCTTTGGGAAGGTTTTAGTTGCTACCTCTTGTACAATGTTGCGAACCTTCGTCCATAGTTCTTCAGGCGCTCTGTCTATCAGATCTAATTCCTTAAATCTATTTGTCACCTCTACTGTATATTCATCAGGGATATGATTTAGGTCATACCTGAGTGGCCTAGTGCTCTTCCCTACTTTCTTCAACTTGGGTTGTTGGAAAAGAGTGTTTGCTATGACCATCGAATTCTCTTGACAAAATTCTACCAGCCTGTGCCCTGCTTCATTTTGTACTGCAAGGCCAAACTTGCCCCTTATTCCGGTTATCTTTTGGCTTCCCACTTTAGCATTCCAATCCCCCATGATGATAAGGACATCATTTATTGGTGTTAATTCTAGAAGGAGTTACAGGCCTTCATAGAACCGGTCAACTTCAGCCTCTTCAGCACCAGTGGTTGGGGCACAGACTTGGACTATTGTGATGTTGAATGGTTTGCCTTGGATTCGAACTGAGATCATTCTGTCATTTTGGAGATTGTATCCCAGTACTGCTTTTCCTACTCATTTATTGACTATGAAGGCTACTCCATTTCTTCTGAGGGATTCTTGCCCGCAGTAGGATACCTGATGGTCATCTGAATTAAATCCGCCCATTCCTGTCCATTTTAGTTCGCTGATTCCTAAGGTGTCGATGTTCAGTCTTGTCATCTCTTGTTTGACCACATCCAGCTTGCCTTGATTCATGGATCTTACATTCCAGGTTCCTGTGGAGTATAGATCTTTGCAGCATCGGACTCTCCTTTCACCACCAGACACATCCGCAACTGAGTGTCCTTTCGGCTTTGGCCCAGTCGCTTCACTCTTTCTGGCGCTACTAGTACTAGCCCTCTGCTCTTCCCCAGTAGCATATTGAACACCTTCCGACCTGAGGGGCTCATCTTCCAGCGTTGTATCGTTTTGCCTCTTGGTACTGTCCGTGGGGTTTTCATGGCAAGGGTACTGGAGCGGGTTGCCATTTCCTTCTCCAGTGGATCACATTTTGTCAGAGCTCCCTGCTATGACCTGTCCATCTTGGGTGCCCCTGCATGGCATAGCTCACAGCTTCATGGAGCTACGCAAGCCCCTTCACCATGGCAAGGCAGTGATCCATGAAGGGGAGGTACAACTTAAATTGTTCTATTTATTTGTTTTCATCAACAATGTGTGTGTACTGCTCAATACCTACATAGATTCTGGTGCAGTGAACAATAAAAAGATGAAAGAAAGAAAAGGATAAAACAGTTTGTGGGAAACAGGGTATTAATAAAACCGTGGTTGGTTAACCAGGGAAGGAACACTGGATTCAGGAGGCTCCAGAACCAAGATGGCACCGGTGCTTGCCCAACCCTGAGAGGGAGGGAGTTCCCTGAAGCAGGGCTCCCACGATGAAGGCCCTTCTCTGGATGGATTCCAGTTGGGCCATAGGTCCATGTGGGACCCCCCAGAGTGCCTCCTCAGATGCATTGACCAGGCAGGTCAGTAAAGGAGAAGGGCCTTTCTCGGGGATGCTGCTCCCAAGTTGTTTAGGGCTTAGTACACTAGCGGCAAAATCTCAGATCAGCCCCAGGCAAGGATGAAATGCTCCACCTCAGGCATACACTACACAAGTTTAAAATGAGCTGGGACTTCATTTCTGGGGCTGCCCCTTTTGCCGTCAGCTCCCAGCTGGAACGTGGCCCTCGGCTGATAGCCCACCCCCACCGCCACCGCCCTTTGTCCAAACAGAGGAGCAGCTTCACCGCCATCCCACCTTTTTTCTTCCGCAGTGCTGGAGTGGGCAGGACTGGCTGCTTCATTGTGATCGACGCCATGCTGGAGCGGATAAAGCATGAAAAGACGGTGGATGTTTACGGACACGTCACGCTTATGCGGGCGCAGCGGAATTACATGGTGCAGACGGAGGACCAGTACAGCTTCATCCACGACTCCCTGCTGGAAGCCGTCGCCTGTGGAAACACGGAGGTCCCAGCCCGCAATCTCTACACCTACATCCAGAAGCTCGCCCAGATAGAAGCCGGGGAGCACGTGACAGGCATGGAGCTGGAATTCAAGGTGTGTGCTGTGCTGCAGGGCTGGCCTTCCGCTGCTCAGGGGGCGCTATGCTGGGAAGTCCGGCTTGTTTGCTCCTGTCTGATTAAATGAAGCAAAGCTGAGGCAGGGTCTTTCCCCATGGATGTCTGTTGCTAACATGTGGTTTCCAGTTTTCTTTTCGAAAGATGCAAAAGGGCTCTGCTTTTCAAGGGGCTGATTTGACTCAGATCAGATAGCTTTATGCAGATTTCCTGCATGGGGTGTGTGTGTGTGTGTGTGTGTGTGTGGATGTGCAAATGGCAGCCCATCCATTGTCACAGAAGTCAGTGAGCTGCCTCAGCTTGCACCATGCTGAGTCAGCACCAATCCAGGGCTGGCCAGCAGGGACCCCAGAGGTGAAATTGTGAAAAACGATCACATTGGCACACTCCTTTCAGATCCCTTGCACTCCCATAGCTGCTGTTCCCCACTTGTCTTTGCTAAAGGCTTGGTTTGTCACCAGTAGCTCCACAAAGACCTGGGCTGAATTCCTTGACTCTTCAAGTGTAAAGGACCACAGCAGTTAATGGAAAAGACTCTTGTCTTGCTGTGCCCAAGACCACTTAGTTCTGCAGCCAGAGAACCCTAAGCCAATGTAGAAGTTGTCTGTCACTGCATTAGCCTCTAGAATTAAGTCTTTTTCCAGAACCATGAGGACCGGAAACTTAGTTTTTAAATGAAGGACCACCCTTAGTGATGGAGCACCCACTTCGCCTGCAGAAAGTACCAGGTTCAATTGCAGGCATTCCCACTTCAAAAAGAAAAAGGGGGAGGGATGAGCTAGCAGACCTTCTCTGCCCCTGGTGACCTGGACATACCCCTTGAGGCGGAAGAACACCAAACGAGGAAGGCAGTTAGCAGCACAAGCTAGTCCAACGTGATGTCAGTATCTTCCCGGGTGCAGTTTCGTGGAAGAGCTCAGCTAAGCTACAAGCTCTTGACAGGCAAGAGTTCCTGGGTTCCAGTCTGCAGTGTCTCCAGGTGCAGCTCGGATCAGAGGAAAAAACTACTGAAGCCTTGGAGGATGATTGCTAGGCAGGGTGAAAGGAGCTATTTTGTATGTGTGTTTTAATTTGGTTTTAAATTTGGTATGATAACCTTTTAATCATGTTTTTAATGTTGTTTGAACTTGATGTTGTATTTTTACGTGTTGCAAACTGCCCAGAGAGCTCCAGCTATTGGGCAGTATAGAAAGTAAATGTAGTCATAGTAGTCATAATATTTAAATTAGGCTTTTATTCACAATCATGACGACTGGAATCTTAACTCAGCTCAGTGGCAGAGGCTGTGCTGCTGTGTGCACAGATGCACTGGTGCCACAGAGTACCTGCTTTGCACGGCCAGTCCCTGGCACCTTCAGTCGGACTGGGAGAGGCCCCATGGCTGCAGACCTGGAAGGCATATGGCAGTGTTTGGGTTCGGGGTTCGGGATGCGGCAGGCACCTGTGGTGCGCTTCGCCTGCCTGGAAGTGCAGCTGTTGGGAAATAAGCCTGACCAGGCTCTGCATCCTTCCCCTGGCCAGCGCCTCGCCAACTCCAAAGCTCACACCTCCCGGTTCATTAGCGCCAACCTGCCGTGCAACAAATTCAAGAACCGCCTTGTCAACATCATGCCATACGAGACCACACGGGTTTGCCTTCAGCCGATCCGAGGCGTCGAGGGCTCCGATTACATCAATGCCAGCTTCATCGATGGGTACAGGTAAGGAGGACAGGTGTTTTGGTTGTGCGGCTGAAGGAGAAATGCCCTGGAGTCCACCCATCTCGCTCAGCTGGGCCAACAAGCACCAAGTTAAATATAGCATTCCCTTCTGCCAGATGTGGTGACGGCCACCAATCTGGGCAGTCTGCAGAAGCTACTAGTCCTCGTGGGTCTAGGTTACCTCCAGGATCAGAGGCAAAATGCCTGGCTTACACCCAGTGCTGGATGATGCCTCAGCGAGCTCGCAAGTCGGCACACGTGGTCTGCAGCCCCAGGTCCCTCGCCCTCCCGTAGCATCACCTGCCTCCCTCGTGGCTCCTTTCCCGTGCCCACTCAGCATGGAGAAGGGGGCCTGGTCAGCTGCCGAGCCCCTGCCCCTGTGAGTCCTGCCGTGTTAACCCCAGTCGGGCTCACCGTCCCACCTGCTCCCCAAACCCTGGGTCCCCCAGACCATGGGGTAGGGCAAGGGCCCGTGGACCTGACCACCTCCCCCAGCCAATGTCTAGAGGGCCTCTGTGCAGATCCTCGTGAGGTTCCGAATACCCGAGCTTCCCGGCACCCAGCCACGGCCTCCCCCGGGCAAAGCGGGACACACGCTGGCAGCCTGGCCCTCCGGAAGCGTTGGATGCCCACCCCTGTCAGCCCTCACAGCAAGGCGAGTGGCCCAGTGTCCCGTGGGTCCCACGGTCTATTTCACGGAAAACAGGCCGCTTGCCTCTGCCCCCCTGGCCGCCCCCCCATCTTTCTTTTCAGGCCAACCCTCAGCATGTGCCCCTGCAGAAACACGCCGCTGAACCAGCCCTGGTGACTTATTCCCTGGAGGGCCAAGCAGGAGGGAGGGACGACCCACCCTGAGCCTGCACACTGGGCAGGCGTTTGCGACGGCCGGACATACCCACGGCCGGCTGCTTATCTCCACCGTTTGCGCCTTAGGCAGCAGCGGGCGTACATCGCCACCCAGGGGCCGCTGGCCGAGACCACGGAGGACTTCTGGCGCATGCTGTGGGAGAACAACTCGACCATCGTGGTGATGCTGACCAAACTGCGAGAGATGGGCCGGGTGAGTGGGGGCCACGCGGGCTGGGGGTGGCAGGTGCCTGGGCGAGCCCAGCTGGCCTGCTGTGCACTAACGCGCCCCCGATCTTTTGTGAATTTGCGTGGGCTCCAGAACACTGCAGGCTGGTGGTGAGGTTTGTGTCAGATTTCTAGCACCTGGTGGGAGGGCTTTTCTTCCCCTTGCTTGTGGTCCTGGCAGAGGTGTCATCTTGGCACTCTCGCTGTCCCCGGTCTTGGAGTGGTCCGTTTCCGTCAAGATGCAAGGATGGCCCTGCACATCATGGTCCTGATTAAAACCAACAACTTTGTCATCAGCAATTTAAAAAGCGATTAACAGCATTTAAAACCACCTTGCTGTTTCAGTGACATATGTAGTGTTCTATTGAATTTGGACCAATGAGGCAGAATTAGGGGGGGAGCTGTGATTTTCCCTCCCCCCACCCGCAGAAAAAAGAAAGATCTCTGTTAAAGATTAGTGAACAAGCAGGCATGTGCCACATCAGATTTAGAAACTAAGAGCCATTTTTTTTTTCATCCCCACCTTCCAGGGAGAGGATGAAATTTCAGGAAAAAATAGGAGCTGGAGCACCATGGTCCCAGTCCAGATCAGGGCTGCGCATGCTTACACGAGAGAAATAAGTGTGCAATCCAGAATAGCCGGTAGCTTGGCCCGTGGTTCGTAAGAGCAGAGAGGTGCTGATGAGGGTACCAGGTGGGCCGTGAGGGGAGGTATTGCCGTTGCTGGCACAAAAGCTGTGGGGCGGCGCAATTCCCCACGATCCCCGGGATGCCGGTGGGAAGAGGGCGCTGCCGCAGCAGCGGGGTTCACGCAGCACGGAGGAGCCGTCCGGGGGACACACCGCTCTCTCGCCCAGCCGCCAGCGAGGCTCATGCGCTTCCCTCTCCCCTGGTCTCGACAGGAAAAGTGCCATCAGTACTGGCCGGCCGAGCGGTCCGCACGGTACCAGTACTTCGTGGTGGACCCCATGGCCGAATACAACATGCCCCAGTACATCCTCCGCGAGTTCAAGGTCACCGATGCCAGGGTGAGTCCCCGCTTTGTGCGCGCTCGGCTCTTGTTCGTCGCTGGAAGGTGAACGTAGGGCGCTGCTTCATGCCCAGTGGATCTCTCAATCCACAAACTTTCAAATCATGCGCTGGGTTGGCCCCAACAGGACCTTCCACCAGGCGACTTTCCTGGTGGCCCCCTTCTTGACGGTGGCCCCTTTGGGTTCGAACAGGGATCCCCACCCTTTGTGGGCCCGCGCCTTGGGAATGGAATGCTCCGTGTGGACACACAAGATGGCACCTGGGGGCCGGGTTTGCCCTTCCTAAGACGGCTGCTGTGGTGGGTGGGCCTGCCACTCCTTTCCCAGGAGGCAGTCTGGTGGGACGTGGAAGGAGGAGCGAGCCCCCCACACAGCAGGCGGCAGTCTGGCGTTTCCAAGCACTGCTTTGAAGACAAACCGAGGGGGGCTGGAAGGCAGAGCTTCGCTTAGCAGCTGTCCGGTGGAATATTTATGCGTGCACGCGGGCGGATGAATTGTTAGAAGTCTGACGCGAGAGAATAAAAATGGGAAGAGCAGTGGGCCCAGTGAGGGAGTGTCATCCTTGCACAGAGCAGCGGCTGATGATGCAAGCGAGAGGAGTGCAGGCAGATGTTCTGGGGCTGCCATTTTGGTATCCCACAATGCCCTGGGATATTTATATCCTACTGTTATTATATTATACATTCAATGTTAATATTTATAGTAATTATTTTATTCATAGCTTTCTTTTTCCCTCCATGGCAGCTCTCATCATTTTCTTCCTCCTGCTGCTCTCCTTCATATCCTCACAACAACAACCCTGTGAGGCAGGCTGGGCCGATAGTCTATGGCTGGCCCAAAGTCACCTAGTCTGTGTGGGCACAAGAACCCAGATCGCCTGAGCCCCCGACCGGCAATCTTAACCACTTCGCCACACAGCCTCGCACACATTTTTGATAAACTCCACTGTCCTCAGAATACATCATGGGCACATGGGGAGGCAGTGGGCAGGTGCCTCGAAAGGCATTCAGTTCCCGGCCTCCCTGTCCTTCGTGCTAGTGCTCCTCCTACGTGTGCAGAGCCACACGTGCGCATCCGTTTCGCGTGGGAGCTCCCGCAGCTTTGCTGGGTCCCCCTCTGCTTCGGACAGGCAGAACTGCAGTGGGAGGTTAGACACGGGAGCAACGCTGGAGAGGGAAGGCAGGGAGGGGGCGATCCTGCGAGGCTTTAGCCGGCGGAACGTCCCACGCCTCCCACCTGCTCCAGCCAGCCGGGCTGCAGGCCTTGCTCTTGCTGCAGCATGCTCCCTGGATGGCTGAAGACGGAGTGGCTTCCCGGGAGCTCTGAGCAGGTCACGTCTGCCAGGGCCAGCTTTGGCCAAGCAGGAGCCCACACAGGTCCAGCACCCTGACGGGGCCGGCCAGGGGCATTGTGGGATACCAACGGGATGGCCCCCGCTTGGGAAAGGCTGGCCCGGGGACGTGCAGAGAACGGGTGTCCACGCATGCGTGGACACAAGCATCTCTGCGGCACACTCGTGACGGAGGGAGACGGTGCGGGCAGCGAGCGGTTTTCCTGCAACGAGGCGGTCTGTTTGCTTGCCCCTCTCCCTCTGGCTCGCCTGTCGTTGGGCTGGTTCTCTTCCCGCTCGCTAATTGTGATTTCTCTCCTCCACGCTGCTGCCACGGTGCAGCGCTGCCTTGTTTTTCCCTCTGCGGGAGCCCCGGCAATGAGGCTGGCCGCCTGGTTTCCTCCAGCAGCTGCTCGCCTCCTACGTGCTGGGTGATTTCTTTGAACTCATTTCTGCAGATTACTGTCTTCTGCAGGGGGGACTCGCGCGTCCTCACACGCTGCCGCTGCAAGTGGCGCAAAGACAGCTTGCCCAAGTTGCGGGGGGGGGGGGATGCACTGCTGCTCCAACGAAGTTCGCTTTCCTCTTTTTCAAGAGCACCCCGAGCCCCCCCTTCTCTCAAGAGAAGAGCAAGACGGCCGTGTAGATACATCGCCTCTTACTCCACAGGGACCCTCTGCAAGGTTGTTCAGGCTGGCCCAGGGGCTCTGTGAGGCAACGGGCTTGCAACCAGCCTCTCCCATTCTTGGGGGAACCTCAAACCAGGACCCCAACCCAGCCCTGTGGCGCCTCATAATGGCTGGTGGGGTTTCTGCACACAGTGCCTGTTTTCCTCCACGCTTCCCCTCACACACCGCTTGCCAACAGGGGCAAAGGAATTGACCCCCAGCACCAGCAAGGAAAGCAAGTCGCACTGCAGCCAGAAACTTTGTAGCAAAGCCCCAGCTCCGAAATGAGCCTCTTCCGAACTTTGGAGGCCAAATAAAAAGCTGGCCTCAAATCCTGGTCCTTCCACAAGCCGAGTCACTAAGCGACCCTGATGCAGGCACCATCCCCCCACCTAGCCTACCTCGCATGGTGATTGCAAGAAATAGGAACGGCAAGGCCCAGTGATAAAACGAAATATCTGCTCACAGAGGGAAAGCTGGCGAGAAGGAAGTTGGAACCTCAGCCCAGGCGGGTCATGGCTACAGCACAACGCTGCATTCCTGGTTACCATATTTGAATTTTAAGCTGTTGCTCTGCTTTTTAAAAACCTTTGCAGCTCTTCCACAGCTCAGTCCTGATGCCTCCCCTTGTTTGTCCCCTTCCTTCTCCCCGCACTGCACACAGGATGGCCAGTCACGGACCGTCCGTCAGTTCCAGTTCACTGACTGGCCAGAGCAGGGGGTGCCAAAGTCCGGTGAAGGGTTCATCGATTTCATCGGGCAGGTGCACAAAACCAAGGAACAGTTTGGGCAAGATGGGCCGATTTCTGTCCACTGCAGGTAAGCACACCTGGCGTTCGGTGCCTTTCCCGGGGAGAAGGCGGGCTCCCTCCACCGCTTCTCCTCATCTGCCAAGGAAATCAGTCAGTCCCTTTACCGTTTGCAAAGGCCTCGGCATGAAGAGCTCAGCCAGCCCCGGTGCAAAGCAGATGCCTCCGTTCACGGGGGACTCACCGCTCATGGCCGGCTGGCTGGCTGGCTGGGCAGAGCCTCTCCCCTTCCCAGCACTTCGGAAGAGACCATTCCATAGGACAAGGCTAAGCTTCCAGATTTCAAGTGTGGCTGTGATTTCACGGTGACACCTAATGCTGCTCCTTTTGTTTGCAAACCAGACCTTGCCGACCCTTTCCAAGCTTCAGCCCTGGCAAAGCAAATTCACCTGAGGCTGCATTTCTTAGTCCCCAAATCAACAGGTGGACACCTGGGCCGCTTTGCAGGCCTGCTGCCCCCACCTGTAGCACTGAAATCGAAGCTGCGGGAGTTTCCAAGCTGCCTTTCATTCTAGCTCAGCGCCACCCCTGCCGAAAGCGCCTGCTCACACACCGTCATTTCGTTCTCCTGGACTGCTGGTCGATATGTAATCTATTTTCTTTTTTAAAGTGGAGTGTGTTGTCTGACTGAGCTGATAAACTTGCCACGTTTCGAGGAAGGCGTGCTTCCTAGGGTCGTGGGATGCTCCGGGTGCTGGCCTGGGTCCTGGTCCATCTAGCCCAGGGGTGGGCTGAATCCCTTTCATCCCTTGCCAGGGGAGCACTGGGGGCCTCGTGGCAGTGTAGTGAGGCTGGGGCCAGAGGCGAGCGGGGTAGGCCCCCAGTGCAAACTCCCCAGGGAATCTTGGCTCACGTTCTCTGCCTGCCCCTGAGCCTTTTGGAAGGGCACAAAAACTTGGCCAAGGGCAGCAGGCGCCGTGACATTGGGGGGCCCTTGGCAGGCTAGACTGCAGCCCAGGCCTGAGAGTGCGGTCCTCGCTTGATGCCTGCTTGGAGCGGAGCCCTGCTGCTTGATGCTTCACATGGCACCCACCCTGCAGCTCCAGAAGAGCAGTCCTCCCTTTTTGCAATGGGCTCTTCTTCAGCCCTCACAGAACAGACATTCCCAGGAAGTGGCCGTTTGTTCTCCAGAAACCGAATCAGGTCCAGGGAGCCGTGAGCGCCTCTGCTTCTTTCCCCAACTCCTTCAAGAAGGCCTAATTCCCTGGGTAGTCACTTGTTGCTAATCTGCGATTAAACCTGTAGTTGATTAATTGCATCACTGGAGAGATTAAAAGCAGCTTTCTGGCATGTTTGCTTTCAAACTTAGAATAGCAGTGCTAAGTTGCTGTCGGAGATACAGCGCTTGCTCAACCATCCAGCCTGCCTCCAAAGCTGCATTGCCAGACGCTGGTCCAGCCACGCAGCTCTGGAAAAGGGGGCGGTGGGTTCAAGCTGACAAGCTCTGTGCTTCTAATTCCTACCCAGCTCTAGAGGAAAGACGTGGGAAGCAGCTCGGCTGGGAAGCTGGGGAGGAGAGGGTGGGGTGCGACAAAATGCCCCAGCTGGTGTTGTTTCATGCACCATCACAAATGAAATAGAAACAGAGAAACAGAGCGAGTCAGAAGGGGCCTCCCGGGCCATCCAGTCTGACCTCCCACACCAGCCGGCACCGCTCACGACATGCCCACCATGTGGACATCCAGCCTGTCCTTGAACACCCGCACCGATGGGGTCTCAACGACCTCTCGTGGAAGCCCATTCCACACCCTCGGGGTCCTAACTGTCAGGAAGTGCTTCCTGGCATCTAAATGGAACCTTGGCTCCCTGAGTTTTGCTCCATTGGAGCACGTCCTGCCTTCCTCTGCAGGGAAGAACAGGTCTCTACCCACCTCTGTGTGACACCCCCTCACATACCTGTATGTCGCCAAGAGATCCCTTCTGAGTCTCCCCTTCTCCAGGCTGAAGAGACCCAGTTCCCTCAGTCTCGCCTCATACGGCATCCCCTGCAAACCAGCCGCCAACCTTGTGGCCCTCCGCTGCACTGACTCCAACCTGGCTATATCCTTTCTGTTATGAGGGGCCCAAAACTGAACACAATACTCCAGTTGTGTAGAGTCGTGTAGAGTGGTAGTAATACCTCTCTCGATCTAGAAGCCACACCTCTGACTATGCAACCAAGGGTGGTGTTTGCCCTCTTGACCACTGCATCACACGGCTGACTCATGTTTAGCCTGCAGTCAACCAGCACCCCGAGGTCCCTTTCACAAGTGCTGCTCTCCAGCCACTTGTCCCCTAACCTGCACTTATGACACCCATTCCTATGTCCCAGGTGCAAGACCTTGCACTTATCCACATTGAACACCATCCTGTTGTCTCCTGCCCACTTCCACAGTCTGTCCAGATCCTTTTGGATCTGGAGTACCTGCTCCTCAGTTGTGGCCACTGCTCCAGTTTTAGTGTCGTCTACGAATTTGATCAGGAGACTGTTCACCCCTTCTTCCATGTCGTTAATGAAAAGATTAAACAGGATCGGCCCCAGGACAGAGCCCTGGGGGACCCCGCTTGTCACTGGCCGCCATCCCGATGATTCCGCACTAATGTTTACCCTCCGCTTTCAGTCAGTCAGCTATGCCCTAATCCACCGAAGAGTGCTTTGGTGTATCCCCAAACTCCTCAGTTTCTCCACCAGGATATCATGGGGCACTTTGTCAAAGGCCTTGCTGAAATCCAGGTATACCACATCCACTGCATCCCCTCCATCTAGCCATCGCAAAACCTTGTCATAGAATTCCACAAGTTTTGTCTGGCAGGACCTGTTTTTGCGGAAGCCGTGTTGTGTGGCTGCCAGCCTCTCTTCCCTATCTAGCATCACTAGATCTCCCTCTATTATGAGCCTTTCCATTGTTTTTCCTGCAATGGACGTAAGGCTAACCGGTCTGTAATTCCCCATGTCCTTTCTACTACCCTTTTTGAAAATTGGGACCACTGATGCCACCCTCCAGTTCTCTGAAACTTCACCCATTCTCCACGAGGTCTCAAAAATGGAGGCCATTGGCCGTGAGAGAACCCCTGCCAACTCTCTAAGTACTCTCGGGTGTAACCCGTCAGGACCTGGTGCCTTCGTAATGCCCAATGCCCTGAGGAGCCCCACGATTTCAAGGGGGATGACTCTAATCTGTGCCTCTAAGTCTCCAGCTTCATCTAATCTCCTATGCGGATATTCCCCGTCCCGCTTTGGGGAGAACACAGAGGCAAAATAGTCATTTAGCATCTGTGCCTGTTCCCTCGCATCAGTCACTGGATCCCCTTCCTCCTTATTTAGTGGTCCCATTACCTGTCTCCCCTTCCTCTTCCTATTTACATGCTGAAAGAAGCCCTTTTTGTTGCTCTTGATATTCTTGGCAAGTCTCAACTCGTAATCAGCCTTAGCCTCGCGAAGAATCCTTCTGCAATGGGCCTCCTCCTCCCGGTATACCCTTTTGTCTGTTTCCCCCAATACCCATTTCCTACGGAGGTTCCTCTTTCAAAATGGTTACCTCGGCTTCCTCCCGGGCATTGCCAGAGGTGGGAAGTGTCTGAGCTTTAAGATGTCTCCTCAGGGGATGTTGCCTCATCTTCCCCAACCTGGTTCTGCTGCGCATGTTTCGGACTTCAGTTTCCATCACTGCCCAATGGTCAGGCACCCTCGGAGCTGTGCAAAGCACTGGGAAGGCCCCAAGTGGGGAAGCCTGATGCAGCTTTCACTTCTTTGGCCCCGTAGTGCAAATGTGTGGCATCGAATTTATTCTTGCCCCTCCCTCAAAAGGGCTCTGGGGGCATTTCCTAATGCCCAAGCGTGCAATTTTGCGGGAAAAACCCTGGCACGAGACGCCCTCCCACCCTCCCCTCTTTCCTGGCTGCCACTCGCGTGGGCAGCGCATAGCGATGCTGCAGGGTGGATTGCTGTCTTGCCGGCATCGGGCCCAAGGTGGAGCTGCAGCAGCGCACCTTATCCGAAGAGATTCTTTGATTAGGGTGGGGGCAATCAGAGAGATCACCCTGAGGATCGAGTGAGGATCACTTTGGACATGGCTTTTTGGAGATGCATGAGCTGGGGGAAATGCCTGGGGAGAGATTTCCGCCCCCCCAGCGTTAGCCATCCAAAGGACCCCGATGGGCCTCAGGAGTGCCTCGGGTCGCCATTGAGCCGAGGGAACTTGTGGGGCTGTGGCTCCGCCCTTGAGTGTGGGTTGCCGTGGGATCCGGACTGCCCATACCAGGTGGGGATCCCCAGGCTCTTGCACACCCTGTGGTCCACAGCCACCCATCTCGTGGCCGCTCCCAGGGTCTGGTGCACATTTTTCCGCTTGGAAAGGTGGCCAGGCCTCAAGAGGAAATGCGGGAGGCTCTGGCGGGTCTCCCTCCACGTCAGGCATGCCGGCCATCCTTCCTCTCAAGCCGCCGGCAGGATGTTACAGATGTGCTCACAAACCTGCAGCCTCTGCAGCGCATGGGATTTCAGGCAGTTACTTGCTCCCCACAATGAACTCTGGGTTTTGACATGAATAAAAAGCAATTAAGGGACTCGCCAGAAACATCCAGTTGTGCACACTGGTTTCATCCACAGATGGAGCCTCTTTTAGAACAGGGTGCCTGTCTGTCCTGAGGGCAGGGACACCAAAAAAGACATTTGATGAATCATGTTTTCAAGGGATGCTTCTGGTTGGTGTTCTAAGAAAATTCCAACTGAGGAAAGATTACATGGTTGTGGTGAAAACCAAGACAAGATTCTTGTGCTTTATCTTGGAACTTTACTTCTGCAGAGAGATGTTGGCAAGATAATTAAAATTACTCTTGCTGAAATGTGAGAATAGGAGCAACTTACACAGACACTGGTGGTGATCTCCAGAGAATGTCTGTGTAGCGCACATGTATTCACACACACAGCAGCTCTTGTATGTCCTGGGGAAAAAATAAAGATGAGAGAGAAGGAGTCACAGTTGCTACAAACTGTTGCAGAACTAACAAATTTGATTTGAACAACAGTTGGCTCCTTTTCTAATTTTATTTTTTTCACATTTCAGTTTTTGCAATTTCAGTTTTTGTACTGATTTGATCTGCTGCATTTGTCACAGCCCTTGTCTGGACAATTAAACTCAACTGGTTTATATGTGCAAACCTACTAAGGCCTTCTTTTCTCTCCCCTTGCTCTTTTCATAGCCTCATGTCTGCTCTGCCCCTTCCTCAGATTGATAGATACCAGAAGCAGGGCCTTATCAGTGGTAGCCCTCATGTTCACTTTTCTTTCTGAGAAAGTACATATACCCCACTGCCCCCTCACACACAAACTCACAATTGGACAAGCACTTTGAAAATCCTTTCATTTGGCTTTTATTCAATCTGCCAGCTTTATACTGGTTTTGCTGTTTAACTCATAACATCAGACTTGGTTTCAATGAACTTTAAGTGCCTCTTGCCATCCAGATGTATTCGATTACATCTCCCAGCATCCTGGATAATGCCAGGGGTGAGAGACTTAATGCATCTGGAGCACCCCGCATAGGAGAGGGAGGCCAATTCGGTTAAGTGTTTCTCTTTCGGGAAAATTCAGCCTGGCAGAGCACATTAGATCAATGCCGACCCGCCCGTTCGTGCCCCGACCTCCCTGGCACCCGAGTCAGATCCTCCCAGCAAGGAGGCATCACTCCCTGAGTGATGGGCAGTGAGAGGGGAGAATAAGGTCCCTGCACACTCTTTGGAACGTGCCTTCCTTGGGCAAAGCACAGCTGAGGAAAAGCAAACCTGGCCCATAAAATCCCATGATGCTGCAGACTCAGGCGCTGAACTCCCAGAAGTCGTGCGCACAGGCCACAGGAGGGGTGAAACACCCCAGCCCCCATTACAGTGTAGCAAATACGATTGATTCATTGGAAGGGCGGTCTGTGGCTGCAGGACGCTCCGGCTTGCAGTTCTCAGTGAGCATAGCTGCTACTGACAGACCTTGGCACTCTGTGCCGAAACTTCCAGAGGCCTGCAGCTCATCTACATGCGCTTTGACGGTGGGAATCGTGAACGCCGGGTTCACCACCACCCCCCGCTTTGCAGCCAGGCAGCGCTCTGCTTTCACAGTAGGGTGTGTGCTCCGGGTGGAGGCCTCTGCCCCAGGCAGCCTCTGTGTGTGTGACGGTCTCACCCGCTTCCCTATCGCTAACTTCTTTTGCAGCGCTGGGGTGGGCCGGACCGGCGTCTTCATCACGCTGAGCATCGTGCTGGAGAGGATGCGCTACGAGGGCGTGGTGGACATCTTCCAGACGGTGAAGATGCTGCGAACACAAAGGCCTGCCATGGTGCAGACTGAGGTGAGACTCGGGGGACTCTTCCCTGTAGACATCCCCACCTCAGCTCCAGTACCGAAGCGTGCCCACACTTTGAGCAAACGGCCAGATTTGACCACAGCTGCAAAGCTTCACGAGTGGGCGGGCATCATCCTGATGACTGCAGTTCCGTGGCTGGAAGGAGCCTGAGGCTGGCTTGGCAGCTGCGTGACCCCAGCGAGTCTTGCCCGGACACCCCGTCTGCTGCAGGGCCGTCGTCACGCGTGGGCCTGATGGGCACTTGCCCGTGGGCCCCATACTAATCGGTGTATGTTAACCCGTCATTTTTACACTTTTGCTCCTGTGAGTGGTGGTCTCGGGCCCCAGGACTCTGCTTTGCCCGGGGCCCATAATGCCGTCAAGACGGCCCTGCTCTGCTGCCGCATAGTAGAGGCAGGCTGGCCCGCTCCTTAGGCCCAGTGAACCAGCTCAGACCACAATGCTGAGAGGCAGCGGGAAGGAGGAGCTCTGTCTTCCATGCAAGTTGCTGCCTTCAGGGGAGTGGAGGAGAAGGGCCCCAACCTCAGCCTGGGCCAGCCAGCTTTTGCACCTGAGGTGGGCCAGCCCTGGCTGGAGCCCCGTCAGAGCGATCGGAGGGTGGCCAGGCCCCGCCACGGCCCTGGGCAGTCGCTTCGAGTGCCACATGCCGATGCTGAGCCTTCCTGGGCCCCGGCAACACCCCGGCCAGGCTCTCGCGATGCTACAAGTTTCTTGGTCATTCGAGCCACGGTGGGGCCACGCAGCTGCCCAGGCCAGTGGTTCGAGTGTCAGATTATGGGAGACCAGAAGCTTCAATCCCAGAGTGGCTCTTGAGGCTCCCCATATGGCTCAGGCATGTCCTGCCTCTCAGGGCTGTTGTGCAAAGAACAGGGACAAGAGGAAAGAACCTTGAGCATTGCCTTGTGTGCCATACCTGGATTATTAATGCGATATGTAAATAAGATATTATCCAGGCTTCGTGTGTGTCTTAATGACATACTTTAGGATAGTGGAACATACTGTGCGTGCTAATAAATCTTTTTCCCCTCCCTGGTCCTCCAACACCCACCCTCCGGATTTCCGGGATCCTTCTGCAGGATGAATATCAGTTCTGCTATCAAGCAGCACTCGAGTACCTGGGGAGCTTTGATCACTATGCAACATAAAAAGAAGAAATCCAACTCAAAACAGAAAAAGCCATCCGTCGTACAGACTCTTACCAGTTAAAAGTCACGGAAGGCCGCTTTCGAGCTCAAAGAGGCGTGCATTGATCTTTTACAAACTACAGACTGAATCAGAACAATACCTCCCCCACCCCTCCCCTGCCCCCACCGTGCCCTCCAAGCCCCACCACCTTGGCCCCCTCCCGCCATGTTTGTTAAACCCAGACTGCGGCGCATCCCCAGGTGGCTGGAAAGGGGAATTGCAGTTCTTGTATTTTCTTTCTAAGTGGCAGACCTTGCTCTTACCTCATTTGGTGTTTGCGGTGTGGGCGATGCAGGGCGATCCAAACGCTTCATGAAACTACATGAAGGACACACGCATTGCCCCCCCACCCCACCCCCGTGCCCCATGGAGAACAGCAGCCCGTTGGAAGCAAAGGACTGGAAGGAGGAGCATGACTGCAAGGAGGAAGGAAATCCAGAAGACCTTGGCCGTGCCGATAGCGTGTTAGGATTCAGCTCACACACTAATCTCAACTGAGGAGCCTTTAGGGAAGCCACTTAAAGGGTTGCTTAATTGGGGAAGGCAAAACACACACAATTGTCCACAAACGCTGCTTGAAGAGCAAAGTCTCTGATTTTGACGTGTAGGGACTCTAGCAGCTCACCTCTCGAACACTTGGAACATTCCTCATGTCTTATGATTCCAAAATTTTTATGTCAAACCGAAAGAATCATGCAATAATGCAAGCAAGGAGAAGATTTCCCCACTCCCTTTCCCCGCACCGCATGCCTACCCACAAGTGCCCCAAGTCTTGGTAATCTGCACTCCAGTTTCACACTGCTTTTTCTCTCCATTCTGCAAGAAGGGGAGGGTACAAAGTGCATTTCAAATTTTTAAAAATTAAAATTCTCCAGCCTACATTTCTGATGCCATGAGCAAATCAAAATGGAGCTTCTGTTGCAGCCCCGTATTTTTGTGGGTAGCTCAGCCCCCTCCCCTGATGCCAAAGAGAAAGACGGCAATTTAAAGGGCCCTGCTTTCTGGAAGAAAGGAAGGGTTTGTAGTGGTGAAGTCACAGGTGCAGTGCTGAGGTGCCAAGGCAAAGATGCCCCATGTGCCACTGTCTCTGGAAACAGGCATTTTCCTTCAGTGACGCAAGCAGGACAGGAAGACCAAATTGGGGCTGATTTGGGGGTTGGGAGTCAGGCAACTTACCCATGAGTGGCTTTCTTTAAAAGGTATTGATGTAATTCTAGCAAAGTGACATTAATTTTTATTATTTTATTTTATTTTTGGGTTTCTCTCTCTTTTTTTTAATAGTGTATTTTTTCCTTTTTAAGAAAAATATGTAAAAAATACAAAAGAAAATCAGTCAATGAATTTACAAAAAAACTTATTTGTTCATATTATGTTCAAAGACAGTCTATTTTTTCACTGTAGAAATGTTATGTGTAATGGCTGTGTGACATAAGAGAAATGCCGTGCAAAATATTGCTACTTTTACATATTGCTTTTCTACCATTTAAAAAAATAGTAAGAAAGACGTTTAACCTGCTCGTATATGAACAAAAAATTGCTGCTTAAGTTTCCTTATTTTCTCCCTTCCAGAAGGCATTTAGGGAGGCTGGGCACAGGCTCAGGGGAGGATGGACGGCTGGTCAGTGGGCCCTTCCTCGGCCTGCAGTCCTTGCTCTTTCTAGCAAACAGGTACTGGATAGGGAACAAGTCCAAACACCCTCCTGCCTTGGGGGAAATTCTGGACCGAGGGAGTTCAAAGACAGAGGTGGCCTCAATCCAGAGAACACACCGAACATTTCTCCAATGTTCCAGAAAGGTATTGGATACAGCCAGAAATACACCCCCTCCCAGCTTTTGAGAGACCTCCTGTTTTGCTGCCTCTGGCAGAATTTGGACACCTTTCTAGGGTCTGCATCATGCAGTTTCAGCCTTAAGATGGTGGGTGACTCTGGGCCAGTCACTCGCTCTCAGCCTAACCTACCTCGTAAGGTTGTTGTGAGGCTAAAATGTGACACCCCCACCCCCGGCCCACCAGCTTTTCAGAGGAAGGGGGCTGTGAATGTTTCACTGGTGGCTAAGTGGCATTTCTCTCCCCTTCACCACCGTGCTGAACCCCTTTAAAACTTCATTTTTCCACTTGAAACCATGTTCTCTGGATTAAGGCAACAGAACCTTGGAACAACATTTTTAAGTGGATTTATCCCCACCAGCAGCAATAGTTAAATATATATTTTTAAAAGGTACTGAACCAAACCAAGGGATCCCCCCCCCCTCAAAAAATAAGGTACATCCCAATCTAAATAATAATATTGATATGTCTGGGCTCGGTTCATCCCACTCCTCAGTTCTGAGGGTTCACGCGTGACGGCACAATGGTGCTGGTGGGGTACGATGGTGCTGGTCGGGACAGAATGCGGCCCGCCCGGGGGTGACCCAGGAGGCTCCGACAGCAACTTCTGGGCTTGGTTGTGACTGGTTGTTGGTTTCTTTGTTTTTTTAAAGGTTCTTTGAGATTTCTCTTCCCACGTGTTGCCTAAGCTTTCGTTAAGTACGCAGAAAAGAAAAACCGAACCACGGCAGGGTTTGGGAGGAGGAGGAGGAGCGGTGGAGGCAACCGGGAGTGCCAACCCCCTGCCCTGGGCTTTCTTTTTAAATTTCTCCCCTCCCTTTCTTTGTACAAAAGCGAAGCCCTGTTGTTATGACACTGTTATTTCAAAATGAACCGTTTCCGTGGCTTCCGTGCCACTCTGTATGTAGATATATATATTGACTTTGTATTAAAGGAAGATTGTCTGAAAAAAGCATGGCGTTTTTTTTAAAGAAATGTCGTTTCAGGACTGGAGCGAGAGCTGCCCACACAGGCTGGTCCTGGTGGGGAATCCCGTGAGCCTGAAGCCACATTCACTGAGGCAGCAGGTGGGCAGTTTGCTTTTCTCTCTTCTTGGGAAAAGGCGCGGGAAGGCAGGATGGGGCTGGGCTGAGGCCTGGAGGCAGAGGTCATGAACAGAAACCTCTAAACTGGCAAAATTTAAAACTATTTGGATGAAACTGTGGTGATGCTGGATCAGATAAAAACGACCAACACTCTGGCCATCAAGTGCCAGCGAATAGAAGAGAGCCTTCACCTGATGCTAAAACAGTGAGTGCGGAGGTGGGGGGGTGCGGTGGCCCCACCGGGAAGGCCTCTGAGGCTGATGGCAGGGAGGTTCTCCACTGGCTGAACTGGGGAGGGGGCACCTCACAGGCAGCCCCCTCAGAACGAGTCCCCTGCCCGGTTCCCACTGTCTCATCCAGAGAGCCAGCCTGTGGGTCAGGTTCTCTGCCCTGGGTCCAGCTCGCTGGTCCTGCAGCACTTCAGAATGCGTAAAGGGGCTCCACAGGCTGGCACTCCTCTGCAGGCAGACCGGGAGCAGCACGAGGATCCAGCCGAGCTTTGCCTTTAAATGCGACAGTGCAGCTAAGCCACTGCACTGCACCGCAGCGAGGTCGTGTGTCTTGGCCCCACAAGGTGACAGGATCCTCTCTGTGCACAAAACACCCTCCTTCCTCAGGGATGGCACTTGGTTCTCACTACAAGCAGGCAAACACGCTACGCACCAGGGGATGCCAGTGCAAAACAGGACATTGGACTAGGAAGAGATTAAACCAGGAATGAACCAGCTCACTAGCCCTCATGGTTCCTTTTGCCCAGAAAGAACTGGGGCTGAGGGGAAGCAAGGCATTGCTTTAGTGCCCGACTGCTTACTGCCCGCAGCTTTCATGGTCTCCATCCCATCTGCAGGACATCTGCTTTTCAGAAGGGCTGTATCCAGTCACACTGCAGACTAACTGGTCTTTGTTCCAGCTCCACCTCCATCTTCTGCTTTGAGGTAACCTTTGCAGCTCCCTCAATTAAGGAAGACTTGTGGATTTGAGCTCAACACACATTTGGGGAACAAAATCACGTTCCCCCCCTCTCCCTCCCTCAGCCAATCAATAGATGTAAAATGGCGCGCTGTTGCTAATGCTCTTCCTGGCTCAAAGCAGCTTTCTGTAGCTGCAGGGATATGCCAGCCATCGCGGCACCTGCCAGCACACGCATCCGAGGCTTAAAGCAGAGCGAAGAGGCGCTACGGCAGCATACGCACCAGGTTTTTCTTCTTGCTGGAGGAATAAATTGCAGAGCAAAATTGCTACGAGTTTCAACTTTCCGTCCGGTCTCCCCATTTCCTCCTTGCAGCCCTGGCACTCCGGTTTTTCCAGTGCTGTGTGCAGTGCAGACGGGAAGCTAAAAATAAAGCCCACCATTTAAATACCTCCATTCAGGAAAGGACGAGTGAGGCAGGGCCAGCATGACGGCCGCATGCCCAAGGCAACTCCCAAGGACACGGGCTGTTGAGCTGTGACACATCAACACAGCCATTTCCCCCTCTGCCAGGAGCCACAAAGATCAGTCTTGGCTCCCCACTGAGGACCTAGCATCGCCCAAATACCCGCCATTTCACAACAGGGAGGGGCGCTCTTTGCTGGGAAAACCATTTTGCCATTTCCCTAGGGAAGTCTGTCCCAGCGAGTGATGCATGGGAGAAGGGCCCTGGAGGGACGGAAGCTGGACTCCCCCAAAAGAGAACCATGTAAACAATTATGGTTTTGGGCTGAAGGAAAGAAAATTCGCCACCCGTCTATGTCTAGAACATGATGCCCTCCAGCTCCATAGGGCTACAACTTCCCTAACCCTGCAGAACATCATCACTGTGATTTTGCAGGGCCCCTGGCTTTTATGAGGGCAGTCCATGCATTGCTTGACCCACGTAACATGCGAAGCAGCTTGCCGACGCGGATGGCGCCTACTGGACGTACTTCTCCAAGCACAGAGCCAGGCTGTCTTGCACAATCTGGAAGGAGCTGATGCAGCATGGAGACCAGGGACCGTGATGCCCTGGACGGGACAACCAGCTGCGAGGGTCTAGGAGGCCATGTGCCCAACCGAAGACGCCAGAAATGCCTCTTGCCAGCTTTCAGGGGCCACCACCTTTGGAAGTGCAAATCTATGGAAAGAGCTGATCCGCTGAAAGAGCCCCGATGTGTGTGAACCCTTGCCTTTGCGAACAAGAGGTAGGCCTGGTGATACCACAGTGGGTCGACTCGTGCCCCAAGGTGAGCACAAAATTTCAGGCCACCCTGGTGAGCCCTGCTCTAGCCATCCATCTCTCCCACGGGCAAGGCCTTGTGAGCATCTGAATTGCCCCGCAGCACCAAGTTGCGCAACACGTTGCTGTTTGATTCACACGTTAAGGATCAAAGCTAAGCTCCAGGGTGGTGTGGGAGAACATTGGAGCCGCGGCAAATCAGCAGTGCCCCGCCCCTCGGTGCTCAGGGCCCTGGGTCCACTACACCACTGCTTCCGTGCAAACAGTTTCTTCATGATGGGAAAGCAGACAAAGACATCCCAAGTTCTGAACCACCACAGCTTTGGGTGGGAAAGCAAGCACTGGCCTTTCTCAGCCATGCAGGGGTGCAAAACAGGTACAGGTTGGCTTTTTTGCATTGCCAAAAAGAGGACTCCAGTTGGCACAATATTCCTTCCTCCCTCGAGTTCATTACAGTTAAGCCAGAGTTAAACTGGACGTCCTAAACTTATGCAGGAGGGAAAATTGGTGCTTTATCAGCTTCCTCTACCCGACTGCACAGCATTGTCTTGCCAAGGGTGGCTACCCGGGTGTGTTCAGAAGGAATAAGTCCTACAACCTCCAGCTTCTTCTACCAGCCATGCAAAGGGTTGGACCATTAACTGAAAACTGATAGGTGCACCAGGATGGCGCAGATTTACCTATTAAGAAAGGTGCTCCTGCTCCCGGGTCGCTTGAGCCGAGCCTTGCCTGCTTGTTTCCCAAGCTCTGCAGTTTCCTTTCTGAGCTGGAGAACCCTGGATGGCACCAAGCCAGCTTAGCTGCAGCACAGAATTGCACGGGGCACCTCAGTTCCCTTTGCGATGTTCAGAGGCTTCCATTCAGCTCTGGGCCCACATCAAAGTACTGGTATTTATAGTTAAATCCCCACTGGCATTTATGTGGATTGGACTGTCTTAAGATCGGTTAAAAATAAGGGAGAGACTGGAAGGCTGCGAAACGAAGGGTTGCCTTCCAAAGTGGCCCTAAGAGCGCTTTGTCTTTTCTGGAGCCTGGAGTTTACCCAGCTCACTTCTTGTTTGTGGCCTCGGGGCTGGCCATGTCCACCCATGATGGCCCGTTTTAGGAATGCACAAGCCCCACCCACCAGAGAGCACCCACGACCCTCCAGATCACCACCATGCCCACTGTCCCCCAGGCCTTTGGGAACCCCTGGTCGCGCTGGTCCAGGAGAAAGAGGCCAGCTACAAAATGCCACATCCCTTTGCTCAAGCCAAGCAGTTTGCCTGCTCTCATTTTAAGCAGGCCGGTCTTAATTAGATTCTTGGGCTGGCGTGCTCCAGTGTGCCAGCAAGGACCTGGGGAGACCGGATTACCCTAAATTGCTACCGAGACTTATTTTCCCCAAGCCTGCCCAGTGATTCAGCTCAGCTGCAGGTGGACTTTTTAAAAGGCACGGATTTCCCCCTCTCCCTCCGGTTGTGCTGCGCCCAGCCTTGCCAGCCAAAACCATCTTTTGCTATCATTTATATGCAAATCCAGAACAGAGAGGGAGAAGGCAGGGTGGGGAGGAGAACCCAACCTTTTCATGGTTTAATAAATGGCTCTTTAAAGCTCCTCTGGAGCCCTGGCGCCTCTCCGTCAAACATAAATGTTCTATTTAAGTTGCTCGCAAAAGGTCACATCTCAATTGTTCTTTCTTAACTCAGAGCTTTGGTGCTGTTTTAAGGAGGGAGGGGGAGGGGGAGCCAGCTAAGATCTGCTGCCCCCTAAAGGCAGACAGTGGCTACAGCACTGAACCACCACCAAGCAAAGTGCTGCTTCCAGGGACTACCAGGCCCACAATCCCCAACCATGGGCCACATGGTCTGAGGCTGATGGGGGCTGTGGTGCACTAAATGAGCGACCAACTCAGCCAGCATTTTGAAACAACATGAGAGCAGTGCACCGGGAACTGCCAGCTCTGTCCACAAACACTGTGCCCTGCCAGATCCCACCGCTATGGGGAGGGCAGGCGTGGGACCTTTCCAGGGGGGCATGTACTGGCCAAGTGGAGGTTGCAACTCCAAGCGCACTCGGCTGTGGGAAAGCCGTACCTGCTCCACAGGGTGCCACTGCAGATGGACATGGCGGCTGACACTGGTCTCTGTCCATCCAGGTGACTCATCTGAACAAGACACAACAGAGAGAGGGAGGTTGGGGGCGGGGGAGAGGGGATGCACCTTGCAAGACCCTTAGTTTGCCAGATTTCTGTTGCAGGTGCTTCCTTGGGAAGTCCCGTCCTGAACAGAGGCCTAAAAACATGGAAGATGAAGAGCTAAGACCAGTGTCCCATCCCTTGTCTGCTCACCCGCAGGCAGACCTGCCTCTGCTCCTTTGCTGTGCTACAAAGATGGGAGAAACGGGGGTTAATCTCAGCTTAGACCAGGGTGGTGACATCTCTCTCCAGATGAAACAGGAAAGGCGTCCTGCAAACCAGATGAACTTCTTGGTATGGCCCCGCTGCTTTCTAAGGCATGCAGAAAGATGTGGCGGCAGATGGAGCAGGACTGGCTCACAGGCTGAGTTTATCTGTGCTTGATGAGCAGCCATGAGCTGGTAGTTTCTTGGGTGCACATGGGGCTGTCCAGAAAAGGGTTGTAGAGCAGAATGCAGTGGCTGGGCTACTGGTGGGGCTCTGCACTGCCATCTTG